GACAGAATGGAAGACATCCACTGTCCTTCCGATCACAAAACCAGGCAAAATTCCATCCGACCTCCGGAATCTCCGCCCAATTTCTCTCACTTCGAACTTCTGCAAGCTTATGGAAAGAATGGTTCTAGCTCGAATCACATGGATCCTCGAAACACACCGGAAACTGCACCCTATGCAGACGGGGTTTCGTCCCAACCTCTCGACTCAAGACAGCCTGGCGCTTATACATAAGGACATGACCGAAAACCCTGCCAATGCAAAGCCCAGAACGATGGTAGCCATCGACATAAAAAAGGCTTTTGACACAATACTTCACGACACAGTAATCCGCGCAGCAGAAAGAAGAGGACTACATGGACGCATACTCAACTTCATCAAGGCATTCCTGAAGGACAGGCAGTTTCACGTCATCATAGGTCGCACCAAAGGAACCCCCAAACCTAACCACATCGGGGTCCCCCAAGGGGCGGTAATATCCCCCACTTTATTTAACATGGCAATGACGGACCTGGCCTTCGAACTCCAAGAGATCGATGACCTAGGCACATTATGGACTATTAAAGGAACCGCCTCGAAACAACAGGCCATACTTCAAGAAGCCTTAAACGTCACCGACAAATTCATGAAAAAAACGGGACTGCAGATATCTACCGAAAAGACTGCCTATATGACCATAACTAGCAAACGAGCCCGAGGCAAGCATAACATTCAGCTATTCCTTAACGGTGCTCCCATACAACCACAACCCAGAATCAAGGTTTTAGGCCTAACTTTCGACGAAGACGGTAGAGCTACAAGCTGGCAGAAGCAAATTAAGGCTCAGTGGAAGGACGGACTCAACCTCCTCAAACGGATTACCAGCAAATCATGGGGATGTCAGGAGGATTTGCTCCGAAGATTAGTCCGAGCACTGCTCGTCTCCAGGGCAGTGTACGGAATAAACTATCTTAGGCTCACAGCGACGCAAAGAGAGAAACTCGAGGTTCTCAACAGGTCCGCAATGAGGATAATCACAGGCCTGCCAAAAATTACACCCATCAAGGAACTGCACAAAGCAGCTCAGGTCAACACTATCGAAGAGATCGCACAAGAAATGAAGAACAGTCAGTACAACAGGCTGGAGAAGACATGGCACGGACGCATCATACTAGAAAAACTAGGCAGAAGGACGTGGTGCATTCCAAGCAACCAACCATCACAGCCTCCGTGGGAGGACGAACCTGTCGTCTCCCTCAAACCTATACCCATGAATCAAGGTGAAGGACACAGGAAACGTCGCGCAGCTGCAGCAAAACACCTCGAAAATCTCGAAAGACTTAGGGAACAGGAAGACGTCGAAATCCTATATGCGGACGCAGCAAGAGACAATGACGGGAGAACGGCCGTAGCCTGGTTAGCAGAGAGCTCCTCCAAGAAAGAGAGTAAGCTCGCACCAATAACACCCAGCACAAAAACAGCAGAACCGCTCGCCATCCAGTTAGCAATTGAAGCTCATGTAGAAAGCACCAACAAACACCTGTACATATTCACCGACTCGAAGGAAGCGGTTAAAGAATGCCTTCATATAGGCAGCAAGAACAATATTACACGAAAAATCAAGAATTTAGCAAAAACACTACGTCTTAAAGGAAGGCGGCTCGAACTGTCATGGATTCCGGGACACATGGAAATTCCAGGAAACGAAGAGGCGAACGAGGCCGCGAGGGCTAGACTACAAGATGACGTACCCTCACAAGGACTCGCCTCCTCTTCGGTCAAAGAGAAACCCGTGGCACCGGACCCAGAGGAACAGAAAGAGATGGAGCGGATAGCCAGGAAACAACGACTGGCATCCCTGCTGCCCATGGACGACTGCCCCATCCCACCTGGCTTTACCAGACGGGAGAGGGTATGCATCCGAAGGCTCCAAACATGCACAGCCCTGACCCCAGTATGGCGTGCTCGATTTTATAAGCCTACTTCACCGAACGATCCCGGACCAGACCCGCTCTGCAAAACTTGCAGCGTACCTGCTACCTGCCAGCACCTTATATGGGACTGTCTGGCCACCAGCAAGGAAAGACAAGCTGCCATACACGAACTGCCCGCGGAAGCCAGACCCACAAACTACCGAGAATGGACAAGACCGGCCAGTGACAACGTCAATAGGAAACAAATATTAACCTCTCTGTTGGGCTACGTATGCTCGGCGGGCCTTCCTCAAATCATTTAACTTCCTCCCATTCCCCTACCCTCATCACCCTATTCCCTACCCCCATCAAGGCTAGATGATATTTATCAAGAAGCCTTGACATAACCCTTTCATCAATAAAAAAACGTTTAACCACCACCGAATTGGAGCGCAGCTCTTGAGGAGGTGAAGGGAAGGTGTCAGGTGCTTTATGGAAGAAAGAAAGGAAACTGAGAGGTCCCTCTGATTTTGGATATCAAAGAAATATATTTGCACCCAGTTGCTGTTCAACTTTCCGAATCCCCGTAAAGGAAAAAAAAAAAAAAAGAAACTTATTAGCAAATAAATAAAAGGGCGTAAATCCAAAGTTCGACTTGCCGAGGTTGGCACTGGTTCACGCTGGTGGTAGAAGCCGGTCTCGTTTGGCTCTGCTGCCGGCGTACCAATGGTGACTAAAGCCCCTCAATATGTTTGCGTTTGTCGTTAATGGTGACCAGTCAACCGGTTGTTGGGATGGCTTTGCTGGTTCGCTCTTGAGCCAGGCTTGCCGTTCAGAGTTGACGGTGAGGACAGGTCGGCAGACTCCTATGGATGACAGCTTCGCCGGTGTATTCCGGAGCCAAGCTTTTTCGAATGCTTCCGCTCTCCGCCCTGAATCTCCTTGTTCTCCTCCACTTCTTTTTTCTTCCCCTTGTCTCCTTCCATTTTCTTCCTCTTTTTGTCGCCGTATTGATCACATCATTACAAAAGGGTACTGAGGGGAGGGTATACCCCTCCTCCTCATCCTGCCTGCTACTCCTCCCTCGAGCGGCGTCGCCGTCGATCACGTGACTCGTGACCTCACGGGGGTCACGTGACCTCAAGATTACGCGGACGGCGACACCGCTCAAGCCGGAAACGGGCGCCGAAGAGCTGCGCTCTAAAAAACACATTTCCGCAGATTCAACAGATGGCGCATTTTCGAGTATCGATCGTCCTTTAATCAAATGCATTGATGACAAGTAAATGCACACCCAAATTATTTGAAATACGCTCTGCAAACATTTTCCGACGTTTTTATCCTTGATAGGCACGTATATAAGTGACCTGAGAGAACCTTAAACTTTTTTTAAATTTTATTTTAAAGCTGATTTAAATAACATATATGCTCCCGACGCATGTACAACTTCTCACATATAGCAGAACAGCAATTTTATGCGTCTGCGGCTGGACGAAAACAAAGTACACAGTGACGCCTGTCGGGAAAATGACGATTGCGCCCGCAAACAGTCAGAAAGAGACAAATTAAGTAGCTACAAAGTCGAGTAAAGTATGAAATACTACTTTGTTCTATTTAAGAAAAAAAAATAGCAAGGGTGATGCTTGTCAAGAAGAAACCTGAAACGCCAAGCTATGTCGAAAATGTTCACTTCGGTACAAGCTACAAGCATTTCAGGCCAGATCCGATCTCAGTACGAAGGTCACTTTTTTTCTGCAGGATTATTCGCCTACATCTCGATGCCGAGTGTAAACAATATTGGTCAGGAAAGCAAGCGTTGTGATCAGTGTTTCTATAAAAAGTAAACTGAAAGGGTTGTCCTAAACTTTCATGGCATTTCGAAAATATTGCTTTTAGCTTCAGTTGCATCATAATTTTAAACGCATTTCGTAAACTAGATTTCAGGATATATATCGCGAGGACGTGCCCATTTCATGATTTTATGCACTGTAATTAATTCCCAAGTTCAAGCTACCAGACTGATAACCTTTCGATTCAGGTAAAATATATGCGACATATAGCTTTTCTTTTAGTTTCAAGGAACTTAAATAACACAATTTATTTTTAACTGTTGAAATAGGGCCTATTGCCAAAAGAACACGGAAAAATATATTCTCTATTTAGCAGTTCAAACCGTTATTTTTTGTTCGGTGGAACCGAACTGGAACTGAACCGAAAGCCGCGACCCCGAGCCGAACCGATAAAAATTTCGGTTCGTTTTGTACACTTTCACATGACAGTTTCTCGTGTTGCAGTTTTTTTTTTTCTTTTTTTGGCCAGTTATGCTTTTTTTTTTTGATAATTTGTTAAATAACGTGGTTTCTGTCGCACACTGCAAGTCACTGCAGTCCGTTGCAGATATGCAACGTTGTAGAACTCTTACAGCCGGTAATATTTTTACGTCATCACTTACTAGAATTGCTCCTGCGTGTCCTAGGACAAAGGTCCATTCCGACTACATTTTTTTACAGTGGGAAACATTGAGCTAAAGGGACGCTGAACCAAATTTAGTGTCCATACTAAGTGACGCACATTCTTTCCAGTCTAACACCAACATCAGCGTTAGGCAGGTGGCCGCCGATAAATCCCATTTGCTCTACTGTCGTCGAACTCCTGGTTACCTCAGTTTGCAGAGCACCCCACTAGAAATGGAGGTCCGTGGTTCAATACCAAGACTAAGCAGATTTTTTGGGTCGTGCACCAGTCACCTAGCCGTCTTTGGAGATTTGCTTGTCCTTTGTCTCCCTTGTTCCCCTTCTCCAGGGTTTATTATAGTCATTCTTGTCCAGCTCGCTTTCACCTTTGCATTATCTTCACAACTTATTCGTTGTTTTTTTGGAGGCCACAAAAATGACGCATATTTTTTTTTTTTTCGATTTTCAATGTTTATTGTGCGCCTTCAATGACCCACGACTTTAATTGTTTGGTACAGTTTGAATACCACGTGACCACAAAAAAAGAGTGAGTGCGACTGAAACCAGCCAATTCTCGACCAGCTGTTTTTAAAACAATATAATTTGGAATCCGATGTCACAAACGACAAATGAAGAAAAGAATCCTTTCAACACACAATTCCAGATGCAATGACCGTTTATTCTCTCAAAGGTGCAATTTTAGGGCTTTTTACAAAGTGAAACGTCAGATCAAAACAATATGTAAATCTCGAGGGAATGACGGTGCAACACCAAGAGTGCCGATTCCATGCACAAAAAAAAGAAAAGGACACACACGCTTAAACATCTAGTTTTTAGTTAAACCGTCGTCGGCAGTACTCCCAGATGAATCGACTTCCAGTTATTCGGAACTTTGCGAGAGAACTACCTCCACAACAAGCGTGACTTGTTCCTCCGTTGGGCCCACACAATTCCAACAGCCTGCCTGCCCAGGCCATCAGACGGGCTCGACGCCGCCACACGCCTCCAAAGACGCCCGCTTCCTCAGTACCTGCGGAGACTGCCTCCCCCCGAGTACCGGTCCCCGGTGCTGTAGCTACTGCTGACCGACCCGTTGGCAAGGCTACCCGAGTAACCGCTGGCCCCGACCCCCGCAGACGAGTGGGAGCCGCTCCCAACCGCCCTGCTCCCACTCCCGCCCCCGACCGTGCTGCTCCAGCGGTGGTGGTGGTGGTCCCCGCCCCCGTTCCACGAAGTGCCGCCTTCGGGTTTTCGCGACGATGACGACGACGAAGATGACGGAGGTACCCACTGCTGCGAGCTGCTCGAGCCGCCGGGAAAGCTGCTGCTTGCCTTGCTGGTTCCTCCCCAGGTCGAGGGAATGGCGAAACCGCGGCTGCCGGCCGTGTCGTAGGAGGTAGAGGACGACGATGCGTGCTCCCGTCGGCTCCCTTCTGTACGCCAGTCCTCCCGGAGGGAAGACGGCCTGCGCGACGACGAAGATGAGGAGGGTGGCGGTGCCGGGGGTGCCAGGGCCGAGCTGCGCGAGCTCGGCCCACTGTGGCGGTAGTCCGTGCCGCTGCGGCTTGGGGCATAGCTGGGGGGAGCCCTCGGCGGTGAGGAGGACAGGGCGTGGGCGCTCCCGTGGGAGCTGCCACCGTGGTTGCCGCTGCCGGCGTGGTGGTGGCTGTGGTGGCTGTGGCGGCTGAAGCGGTCGTCCCTGTCTGAGCGCTGGCTCAGGGGCTTGCTGCTCCCTCCAGAGTTGCCGCCGTCGTACTCTGGCCTGCTGGGGAAGGGGGCCGGGCGTGGTGGGGACGGGGGCGAGGCTCTGCTCGTGCTTTGCCTCGGCAGGTCCGAGGGACGGCGGCTGTGAAAACAAGCGCGTCCAATCGTGTCCCAAGGGCGTCTTCAACCGCGACAGATAGACACGAGGATGCACAAGCGATACCGGGTGAGAAGCTCACTCGACTGTGTCGCACTAGCGACAAATCTGGATGATTAATTCATTATTATAATGAGCCTCAGCTGCAAGTAGTAAGATGGAAAAAAAAAACTTTCCTTGGTCATCTAAAGCAAATACGATATAGCTTCGCCAATATGGAAACTCTGCCAAAAACCTATGGGAGCGGCGGCGAACGTGACAGTGGCGCCTCTAGCGGACTCAGAGTCTACGGAAGCAGACGACGCAATGGAAAAGTATAGGCTCCGCGACGTCCTCGAGCTTTGCGTGCCCCGTTTCATCACCCCAACAGCAGAAACAATTCATTACGGTCAGTCCGCTTGCAAAGCAGAATCCACAGATCGCAACTGCGACGACAATCAAATAAGAAGGCACGCTGAAACAAGGATAGAGCACTTTATATAGAGGTCTCAAACGCCACTCAGGGGGATCACACGTGTTTCAAGCGCATCTGGGAAGCCGAAAAAAAGCGTTTAGCTACTCGAACTACGTCGTAAGAGCTTACTGTTTATGCGTTACAAACTGCATTGTCACAATTTCTTACCTGAATGCGTGATTATTAAAGAGTGTGCAAACAACATGTAATATTACCAGAGCAAGTGCACCAGCCTCTGCAGCATTACAAAAGCAAAAAGTAACAACATGTAATATTACCAGAGCAAGTGCACCAGCCTCTGCAGCATTACAAAAGCAAAAAGTAAAGAGAAAAATGACCGTGCAAACACTTTCCGAACTTTGCAGAAAAGGTGGGGTGCCCATTCCAGACGAAAATAAAAAGAAATGGGGAACAGTCGTGAACAACGGCGAATGAAACAAAAAAGTTAGCAGACGATACAAAGATTCAAATCACCCAGCAAAGACGTTCTTCAACGACGACGATCGCACGGGGCGTCGATACGAGCATTGAAAGTTAGCAGGTGGTGCTCGCCGTTGGTGTTGAGTCCACAACAAACAAAGCGAAAGCAACACGACGGAACTATTAAAAAAAAAAAAAAAAAGGTTCACTTTTTTTTTTAGCTGCACATTGCACGGTTGTGTATTTGCTTTCGCGGCGTTGGTAGGAACTAAGAACAAAACAGAGGAAAGGAATGACGTAGTCCAGCTCACACTGCCCGGTAAATAAAAGTCGCAGGCTGCAATCTGCTTTGTGCTAGCAGTGTGTGACCTTTTTTTTGCTTTCACATTTTTTTCCCAGTGACTTTGGCAGGCTGTTTGTTCGCTCGCTTGGGGAAGCAGTTCAAAAGAACACCAAAGTACTTGTTGACGTACATGTCCAGGCAATCCTTGCACACCGTGCCTTTGTTTTAAGTGCCGATCAGTGGCCTCAAGTGAATTTTCAGCTGAACTCTTGTTTGGTAAAATATATCAGTGAAATTTGCGTCGAAGGCACGGCTGATGTTGCTGGCTATGTGACGAGCTAAGTTTTAAGCTGGTGTCATTTTCGCATGCGAGTATATCTTGTTCTTCAACAGAATGTATTTCGAGGTGCTCCATGTTTCTGAGAGCAAGCATGATGTCAAATCTGACTGGCTGCCACCGGGCTACAGAGGACTGGTGTTCAAAAGTGCATCTGGTCTGTCGTCGGTTAAGTTCTAAGCAATCTCCGTGGAGTTGTCATAATCATCTGTTGAGGCTTCAGTGGTGATTTTGAAGCCAGACTTGGATAGCTGTTCCAGTTTAATTTGAAGTAACTTAATTACTCACGTTTGTTCGGTCTTCAGGAAGCGGAAGAAGGATTTTTTACCAAATCACAAAAACTTGTTTTTGCAGTGGTTTGCAGTTTCCAGCACATACTTGGATATGGCAGGGATGCCATCTCCAAGTATGGGTTGTATGCCCGAAGGCGACCGGTTGATCAACCAACCATGACCCATAGCAGACGTGACCGCATACTCAAATAAAATCTGAATAGAAATGTATAACGAGCTTACACTTTTTGATACATTAAGCATCAAAAAGCATGTATGAAGATTTTGGCTTAGGAACTCAACCAAAAGCGAAAATAGTAAGTTATCGCAAACGACCGTACAAAAGAAAAAAAGAAAAAAAAAGTTGCAGACGGCCCTCAAGATGCCTGGGCGTAGCGCAGCGGACGAACCGGTCGTGGTATGACGAAGTGAAGGAAAAAAAAAAGTAAAAACTAAGCCAAACAAGGCAAAGCAAAATATGCGATGGTTCGAACGTCAAGTTAACACAAGAAAGAAAAAAGCAAACAAAAAACATAAACGCAGACGAAAGAAAGACCGCGGCGGTGTAGCGTCGCCTCAAACAAAAAAAATATATAGAAAGTAGGTTTTGAAAAATAAAAGGAGGTGCACAACTGTTTAATGGGCGTTTTTTTTTTTTTTTTTGCAACTCCGCTTTTATTAGTTATAGCAATAGCGTCCGATTTGCATGTCCACAATCGACTTTTTCCAGAGCATACTGACATCGCAGTAATGTACGTGGTTCGAAATTGCCTTCTGCTTCTTCATCCGGAAACAGTCTTAACTGGATTAGCCTGCTTGCCTATTCAATGAAACGGTTTTAAGAAATATGTTCATGAGGAATTAGAATTGCAACAACAAAACAAATTGATCGATAAGAAAAGTTGAAACGTAGCTATGTTCTGAACAATTTTTTTTTTACATTGCCCTTTTTCAAGAAACAGGGCAAAGGTACATTCGTGTTTTGCCTGACTTACGTAAGTCCTGACAGAGTGTTTTCTTCAGGAGAGCCGAAAATTGCGCCCTACAAGCTGTAACATCTTTCCCACGCGAAGAAAATGTCCTTCACTCATGAAGTGGCACTTATTTTTTAAAGGGACCACGAAATGATTTTAAAATCGAGTTTCATCCACCGCACGTCGTAAAAGGTGTGAAAAGAAATACAAAAACACAAAAATAGGGAGCCAAAAAAAAATTATTTGCTATAGAACTTTTAAAAGAAAACTGGACTCTTTTGCGCCTTCCTTCCTTCGCCTGTTCACTACGATGCATCCGCGGAAATGGAGCACGTCAGCCAAATCCACGTCGCCTATTGGGTAAGAGCCTACCTCACCAGCACCGCGATCGTAAACAATAAATAGCCGGCGAATGTTTCCTAAAAGTTTTGTTAAATAATATTCAGATCCACATTTTGTAGCATAATTAGAGATGTGTGGCGAAAATTGCCAAATTTGATAATGCTGAGAGCCAAGCGCCATCTATCGTGTGCTAAACGAAGCAACTACTGCGCGTGCGCAGTAGGGCAGGGCCGACAGTTACTTGGGTGACGGCGACCGACGAACATTTATTTTCTTTGTTTTCCTTCCTCTCAAAACTCTGACTGACTGAACGTTTATTTTTCTACGTGTTCTTCCCGCGCGTGCTGACTTCAAGCAGCAAGAAAACAGTACTTAAAACAGACCACGACGAACAAGAACGCTGGATCCACCGACTCCGACGAAGCGAGCTGCTCAGAATATAGGCCTAGCAGGCATTCCGACTCGGCGCTGCGTTGCTTCGTCGCAAGACCGTCTGTCTACGACCGGCTGGCGTGCTAAATGGAATATGCCCGCGCGACCCTTGTGGACCCTTTGATCACTGACCTCAATTCTAGATTAAGAGGTGAGGTCAATCTCTTCCCCTTGTTTTCCGAGGCAGTGTTGACGAACACTCGTCGAAAAGGGACTCTCGTCGATTCTATCTTCTTGTTTTGTGTGATATAGAGCTGAAATAAACGCCGTATGGATTACCTTTGTAACACGGTATGTACACTTTGTTATTGGTATGCCATTTTTATTCTGACAGACTGCACGTCACTGTCGAGCTATAACAGTTCGTGGGAGGTATACGTACAACCCCTGTCCAACCTTTCTTTGCCGAGTGTCGCGTCAGTATCGAGTTGCAATCGTAAAAGAACGGTCCCGAAGCGCTTACAAACAGCGCGAATACAGCACTTCCATCAAGCGCGCGTCCGCTCCGAGTGTAAACAGGTATTTACGTGGCTCTTGCTGACACTCGTAGTTCAAACGTATCTTTTTTAATGTCGGCTCGCTCCTGCATCTCCGAGGCCGCGAAAAACGCCATCTAAGTCGCTTTGCAAACGACTGACACGGGCCGGCCCTTCTGTCAACAATGACAGGGTGGTTGACTTCTGGAGTCTTCACCGGAAGACTCGCTGCACTTCCCAACAGGCATACCGGCGTATGGGACTAGTCCCATGCTGTCGCTGTAGCGCAACATATCTCATTGAATTTCGCTCGGCTGCGATGCGGCGATGAGAGGCGCCGATTCAGGAAATACGTCGGTGACATCAGCGCAGTAAAACCTACCGGCGCACCCCAACTCGTTGCCGCTAACACTCCCATTCTCCTACTGCCGAGAGAACTTCCGGTTCCGGAAACGGCCTACGTCACGGCTTGTTTTGCGGTCAGTTGGAGAGAATGAAAAAGTCGATATTTCAATAATTTTTTGCGTAGAAGTTAATAAACCGAGACGAAAACGGATGCCTGTTCGGCATTCAGTGAACATTGACGGTTTAATGTAAAAGTTATCTGGAAAAAGTAAAAAGGTCATTTCACGGTCCCTTTAACGTTCAAAGCAGCAAATGCCCGTGACCATTTTTTTTCATTGGTCACCTCGCACGGAGACAGGCAAAATCAATGCGTTGTGGAGGATTCGTCTGCTAGCGGAGACTCCGAGCTCGCCAGAGGCGCTGCGATCACTTTTCGCCCGCACTCCGCGAGAGTTGCCAGTATTGACTTACACGGTATTTGTCTTCAGCTCAATTGAGCGAGACCTGGCCCTCGTCTATCGCAGCACGCAAAGGGGAGATTCGCTATGCCCATTTCGGAGCTAACAAGCGTCGTGGACTAGGGTTTCTTGGGAAGTGTAGAGAACTGGGTTACTCACCTCGACGGATGAGAGCGCCTTCGTTCTGCGTAGAAAGTGTCGTCGTCCCGTCTGTCGGGCACCAGGGGACGCTTCAAGGGACGCCGGGCCTCTTCCGTGCGCCTTGGAAGAGAACACAAAACACGCTCATGGACAATCCCCCCAGGGAAGTATAGTGGACCATCTACGGAAGGAAACTAAGGATCAACGACTACAATCTCTGCAGTCGTCACTTCGAACCAGAAGCATAAAACACCAAGAAACATTTTTTTTTTTTTTAGACGATTTAAACAAAATGCTATAAAAGGTGCTAACACAAGTGCATGTACAATCAGTACCGATGTGTAGAATGCAGTACAAAACTACAAAATAATTTCAGGATGAATTCTATTGGGCATTGAAAATATTTGTTTTATTAACTTTGACATCAGGACAACACCTGAACAAAGGATTCCAACAAAACGGTCGCTCTATGGTCTCTGACCAAACAATCGCAAAAGTTTGCAAAATCATTTGTACTTTTGATTCTTTGCCAAATAGGTACATAGAGCCTTGTTGATATGTTTGTCAAGGGACCAGCAAATAAAATGTCTTATCTGGGAAAGCACAATAAACAAGAATGCCATTCGGGTCGCGCTAGAGATCAGACACTGTCGTGAAACAATCTATTTTTATGCAAACATTCGTACGTTTAAACTGAAATAAACATACTAGGGTGGTTCGCGACATCCTTAGACAGTACAGGCGAAGCCTCTCCTCGTGTTCTGTCTCGCGCGGCACACAATAGCAGCACACGATTCTTTAACAAATGATGCGACAAGCGTTGCACTTGCTCTCGGATGACGGTGCCATTGTGCAGTCGTTAAGTGGTTTGGTCAATCCTCACTGTCTCTTGTTTTCCCCTTTGTGTGAATGCATTTGGGAGGCAGACGATCTACGGACGTGTCGTCGCATGATCAACTTGTCGGTGAATGTGTCCATCGTGCGAATCGGCCGGCCCCATGTTGGCGACGTTTTGCACATAAAAACCGGGAAAGCAAACTCCCCAAACAGGAGATTAATACATGTGTTCCTTTGGGAGCTCGGGGGATTGCCATTGTAACTAAATTCCAAAACCAGTATTCTTCTAAAGGGACAATAAAGCAATTCTGGAACACATGCTGACTGCCTTCCAGATCCAACTTTGAGAGTTGAGAATACGAGAGTTCACATTTCTCTACCTAGACTTTCTGAAATCGAATTTTGAAGTCCAGCCCTAGGCGAGCGAGGTTGGACAGCACACGCATCAAGCACTGCAGTTTCTCAAAGTCTTGCCTCCCTTAGCAGGGAAAGGGGCTCACCCAGCGAGGAGCTGCCTCTGGCGGAGCTCCTCCCGTTCCCTCTGGATGCGCTCCCTCTCCTGCCTCTGTTTCTCCCGCTCCAGGCAGATCAGCTCAAGCTTCTCACGTTCCAGCTTCTCACGCTCCACCCTGAAACACAAGGGCCCCCCTCCTCACAACCAGGGTTGACACACACAAACTCTGATAGTGCAAATGGGCCCATATTTAACACGGATCTAAGCGAAGCTTAACAAAGACTGCTTCGGTCGCATGCTAAAAGCCAGCACAAACACGGGAGAAGTACACCACCTTTCCCGAAGCCTGACAGCTGACAGTCAATAGACCCTTTCCGAAAATCCGTCTGACCACGTCGATCACCATTATGTGCACCATGGATTCTCAAACCTGATTCCCAGTGCTCCTCAATTTCCTTGACCGTCCCTGCACCAAAGTTTAGTATTTTTGAAGTTTCAAGGTAACTTTGAGCCACTCACTGATGCCATGCTATATGCCAAACACTCCTCCAGTTTGTGCACCACCGTTTGGCGACTGCTTTACTATGCCAACGCTGAAACTGAAAGGGGTTCCTTGGCTGCCGTTCAAGGCAGACGGGGATCCTCGAGATTGAATAGTTTGAGACACCCCGATCTGGACGTAAGGCATCTGCGGCATGCTAAGGGCAGTCTTCTGGGCCCGTTTGCTCGAAACACTAACCACGGCTAAAGTTAGCCGCAGTACCTAGGAGAGGGATTTCGAGATCACGTGACTGGCTCAGTAGGGATGCGGGGAAGCATGGCGGTGCCCCAGTGAGTGAGCGCCGGTCGCTTTGGAACTAATATGTCGTTATGGTTGCAATATCGGGCGCGTTAGTCAGCAACGAATGGTGCAGGAGGCTATCGCTTTGCCTTACCTCACTTAAACCGCAAAGCATGGGCAATGACATCGCCGCATTTTTTAGATAGTCTTTCGATTCTGGGCACTCCTAAGCCTAAATGAACGCGATAATTGTCAGCACAGCAACGTCTTTGGAAAGCGGATTGTTGATAGCACACAAAAGCAGACGGCGTCCCAACAGACCTTTTTTCTAAATTATCAGTATATAATGGCAGTTGTGAGGCAAAATGCTGTGCAAAGTTTCATCTGTGTACACAAATTGTGAAAAAAAGGAGTCACTTTTTATCAAGAACACATTGACATTGTTTAGGAAAACTATCGTTAAAAAGCTAATGTACCGTATTTACTGGAGTATAACCCACACTATTTAAGAAGAAAACCCGAGGGTTCGCTTTTCCGCGCTTTTCTGCAGAGCATGCGGATTGCCAATCATCGCGATCGACAGCATGATACCAGCTGTTTACAGGATAGAGATTACGTCTTCGCGCGAAGATACCATCTGTGAAGGTTGCATTTGTATGGAGAGTCATGTTCTTGATCTAGTTATTCGCTACCTTATTTATGCGCAACGTGATGATTGGCTGTATACGTGCTTTGCAGGAAAGTAGACGCAAGGGCCTTGTTCATAAATAGTGTGGGTTATACTCGAGTAAATACGGTAATACCCAGCATTTTTATTCACTAGATACACAGCAGAATGCCTGGAGAGTGCAACTGTGAAAGCAAAATTTTCAAAGAATGATCTATTTTATGCCTACATTGTGCTAACTTATATATATTTTTTGCTTTTTATGTTAGGAAGTAAAAAAAATGCCACAGTTGTGTTGCCCACCATATTCCACTTAGGAGAAACAGTTAGGTAAGCCTTTCTTTGTGTCCCATTAGCAAGCAAGTTTCCCTAAAGTGACATTTATGCCAAAAAGTGGAACAAAGAAAAACGTGTTCAAAGTGCTCTAACCTCTACCTTTTCTTTAGCAACAGTGGACAGAAAATAATTTATAAAAAAATACCTATGCAGTGTTAAAAAATGAAACTTTCTGGAAATAATTTCAAGATGTTGGCAGATCTAAATATGGCTTTCTTTTTTTCTTCTCGGTAGTGCCCTCCCCTCCCCCCCCCCCCCCCCGTACACTTTGCACTTAGCTCCCCTCCTCCCTTTCCATATCCTCTCCACTGTTCTGTTTTTGCCCCAACTTGGCTCCCCTGAATTGGGAGAGGGAAGTGTTGACAGGATTATCTTCCCTGCAGAAAACCGAGGATGTACATTGGCTTTTAGGGAAGTGGGCCAAGCTGCTCCCACGAAGCCCTCCCCTATTTCTATCTTAGCGAGCGAGTCCCCTCTCTGGCGTTCACTCCGCTGAAGTGGAACGAAGGGAGGGCTTTGAAGGAGGCGCTTGTCCTGCTTTCCTTAACCCGCAACAGGGCACAAAAACCGCCGGTCTTTTTGTTACCATCAAAACCGAAGAGAGTCGAGGGGGAACTTTACGGCAAAAAACACATTCCCGCCCGCCGTGGACGTTCGAAATTGGCAGTGCTCTCGTTAATACCTCCCAAAGTACCATGTTTTTACCGTTATTAGCGCGCCAAAAGCTGACCTGATATACGAGCCGCTATGGTACTCTTATCACTTCAAACCCTAGGAAGCCACAAATTTTGTACAAATTAAAAGAAATTCGTCCTAATATAATGAGATAAAATTATGATTTGTTATATGAGTGGCTACACATACAAACCTGATATTTGATCATAAGCTCTGCACAAGCGCTCTAATCGTAGGCAGGTACAAAATAAGTTTATTCATCCCTTAAAAATGTTCTTTATTGTGGACAGTTTAGACAGAACAAGACACCTTAAAACAAAATTAAGTTAGTTCATCCAGCAAAAACGTCCATTGAGGATTACGTAGACTCATCAATTCAAGTTACAGAAAGCCACAAATTTTGTTTGAATTACCATAGGTTTGAATTATCAGAAATTCATCTACATGTGATGCGAGATAAAATTATGATTTGCCAGATGAATGGCTACACATACAAAGCAGATATTTGAAGATTTCCTCTACATTGGGCCTACTGATCATAAGCAGGTGTGCGACACATGAAGCACTTTGTGAAATGTATGAAGTTTACCTATCTCTCAAAAATGTTGTTTACCATGGACTGTTCAGGCAGCACATGACAACTCAAAACAAAAGTAAGTTTGTTCCTCAGGCCAAGAAGTTGTCTAATGTGGACTAGTAAGCAGGGGACACATGAGCGATGAAATTGAGCACCGCGCGCCAGTTTTTGTAACAATTTGTGCAGACGCCGCGACGTGAACCTATGCCGTGCCGCCATTTCACAGCACCCGCGCAAGTTGATATGGAAATTTTTACGCATTGCCCTTTTTCATAGCTCATGAGTGCCCTTCTTGAGCCTCGTTGAGTGCACTTATCACCGAGCATCAGTACACTGCGGAGAAGCAACACCCGCAAGCCCTGCTTCCGCAAGCGTTGCTTCTCAGCAGTGCATTATTGCTCGGTATGAAGCATGGTCAAGGGGGCCACGAAAACAAAAAATTGTGGATTACGCGAAAACGCAGCTCAAATTAAAGGGCCCCTAAAAGAAAAAAAAAAAAAAAAAGTTTCTTTTAAACAGTCTGGTTGGGATACGCGTGTCAAAAAATAAACTATGCAAAAATTTTTTTTATTTGTAAGAGTAATATTGACGGCGAGAGATTTATTCAAAATTCTGCGTGCAAGGTCCACGACGTCACGGGTCATTCCGGAATGACCATCCCGGTCTCGTGAAGGCAAAGCCGATCCACCTCTCCCCCATGCGCCCGAAATGCCGAGAGGAAACAAGTGGAAAGGAGGTGGACTGCAGATTAAATTGAGTCTTGCGCCATCAATATTGCACTAATTTTTTTTTTTTTTCACATAAAATTAATTTTTTGACACAAGTGTCCCATTCAAACTGTTTAAAAAAAATAACTTTTTCTTTCCCTCTTTAGGGGTCCTTTAAGCGGCTCGTAAATACATTTACAACATAGTGGAACAACCAAATTTTTTAAAATTTATTTGAATTACTCCTAAGTATGAAATATCCTAGGCTGAATTATCACGAGCCTACCGTGGATGGCGCTGAATTTTAGAAAGACCCTTTCTGAAATCCAGCGCCATCCATTGATCCATTGGCACTGAATTTGCCTTGGTTTGAATTGACTATGGTTAAAGACACGTGAAACAATGGTCTTGCCTGAGGCGCTCCCGCTCTCGCTCCAGGCGATACGACTCCTCCCTCTGCTTGCGTTCCAGCTCCCGCTGACGCATGCTGTCGTGGAAGCTGCGCCGCTCCTCCTCTCGCAGGTCGAGGCGGTCGCGTGTGCGCATGCGCTCATCCTGGGAGGAAAGCAGAGGAGCCGGTCCGTCCTCAAGGGTTTGCTTGGTGCACCCTGAACGTGTTCTTACGTCGATCTCGCATAACTTTATATCCACACAAGGAATGAGTAGCCTGGAAGAAAATCTGTTCTGGCCAATGCTAGAGTACAAAAAACAGCACGGACTCAACTCCCAAGTTATTAGCTTGCGCACGGTTTTTGGAAGCCGCTGAACATGGCTCATCGTAACGATCTGCTGGACATGGGGGTTGCAGTGAAGTTTCTTGCTCCCTCTCACTGCAACACTTGGGGGATCGCTGGCCGAGTGGGCCAACGCGTGCCGGCTCGAAGCACGTGGAGCGAAAGCTTGCGCTGCAGAACTCAAAGACCCTGGGTTCCATCTTCATCCCTGCCCGTTTCCATCTGCAGGAGCATTTTACCGGCGTGCAGTCGTGTATCACTACTGCGTGATGCAAGTTAAAGACCCCCAGGCCAGTGGCCGTGCTGCACTCGCTAAATTTCTCATCTACAGCTGAAACACTAGATGCCCACTGGGGCTGACTAACTTCCAGCTGAATAAACACACACACATCGCTCCAAATTACCATAACTGTGAAAAAAAAAAAAAAACATTTTTGCACCCTTTAGGCTTTGCAACCAAACTAAAATTTTTTTAGCTTTGTTACAAAGCTTTTTGCCAATGTCAACTAGGGCATACTGCCTTCCTTTTCTGCTCTAGCTTCCAAAGACCAAGCTAAGTTTGTCTGCCTTCCAATGAACTTTGTGTACACCACTGGTCGGTTGCTTAGTTTCCCCCTTCGTTCCGTTTCACGCTGCAGCTCGTGTCAAACCCATTGTTCAACGTTAATCTGCAAGGCTTAGCACCGGGCTGTGGTTTGTCGTTGCTCCAGTCTTTGGATTCCCATCCTTTCGTCGTTCTACAGTCACGGACAGAACGAGAACGGCAGGGCGCGTCTTCCGAATACCTGGCCTCCAGCACGCGCTCGAGGTAGTGGAGAGAGATGCCGATGTGTTTTCAAAGGTGGGAAGCCTGCACCGGAGGTAGGGCCACCTTAGTTCCTTCCTGCTGTTCTCACCTCGTTCATGACTAGCTTTGGACGCTCCCCTCGCTTCCCCCCCCCCCCCCCTCCTCGTCAACCCTGTACGACGCGAGAGGCGGCGACCACACCCGCAAGCGGACTAAAAGGAGATTGAGCGACGCACCCGCATCCTGCGTGCGGCCATCATGTCGTGACCACCGGGGGCCCCCCTGTGGGGTCCGAACGAGGGGCTCCTGAAGTTGCCACCCCCCATGGAGGGCCGACCGAAGTAGGGCCCCCGCTGGTAGAAGCTGGGCCTCCGGAAGAAGCCCATGCCCGAGCGCTCATAGGGTCGCCGCACCGGGTAGGACGACGAGTGGCGCACGCTCGGACGCTCCCGGGAGCGGCTGCGCACCGGGCGGCGCTCCCGCACCGTAGGACGCTTTTCCCGGTGCTTCTCCTTGGACTCTTTTCGGCCGGAAAGGAAAGGCACAAAAACAAATGGGCTGTGGATGAATTGTGGCCCAACTACAATATTACCGGATTACGTGCAATTTGAAGTCGAAATCTGATGCCTCGCCAACCACCTACGGTTGTGGACTGTGCGAGGATTTTCTTTTCCCTATCCTTCGTTCTCACGAGACACAACGAATATTGTGAATGACAGATTATTTAATAATACATTTTGTATGACACATGCTTTGTCATGTACTAATGAGGTGGACACTTTTCAAAACTGCGATGCATAGAAGAATTTTACAGCGGAGCTGTTAAGGGCTAGGTTCCCCAGGATCGTGTCCATGTATGTCGACACAAACTTACCTGGACAGCTACCGCCATCTATAAGCGACGGCGGCAAGCACACAACCAGTATGGTTTCCGCCGTCGCTCGTAGATGGCGGCAACCTTTCCAGCTATAATAGAAGAATAGGTAGTTGGGCACTTTGGTGGGAATTCATTGCAGGAAACATTGCGAAAAACAGACGACGACGACGAAGAAGCAGACAGTGTATCGAGTACAGCTCCGCTGGTCTTCGTTCTTTTTGTAAATTTCTTTATGTGTGTGAATTACGAACCAGGTGCTGTCTATCCGCAGACAGAACAGGATGCAAACTATGCACTGGGTTTAAACTATCCAAGGAAAAGATTTTTTTTTTTTTTCTAGCCGTAATTTGTTTTTGTGGATTATACACAAGGTGCAGATTGTAGTCCGGAAAATCCGGCCATGGGAAAAGGATTTTTTGGCCTCATCCAGGGGAAGGGTAAAATTCCACAGCTTAGAACAGTGGTTCTTGACCACCAAGTTTTTGGATTGGCAAAGCTATTGCTGGGCTTGACTAACAGCCGACGGCTACGGAAACCCCAAGAAGGCTTTCGGCGGCCCCAGAGGGTTTGCGGACCCTCATTTGAGAACCACTAGCTTAGAAGCTGCAGACTTACATACCATCTTTGCTAGTGTTCTCGTCGATCACCACCATGCCATCATCGGCATTAGACTCTTTGGTAGCAGCCTCCTTGCCAGTGTTGACTGTCACCAAAAAAAAAGAAGGAAAGGAATATACTCATTAGTTGAGCAAAAAGAGTCTTTGCAATCTCAAATGTGTTTCAATCAATGACATCTACTAGGAGTCAACTCTGCAAAGGCCTGCAAAGGCTGGGGCATAACGGCATGACTCAAAGCTTGCACTTGTCCCGGCATTTTTCTATCTAAAACTGACCACTCATTAAAAAATACTGCAACGAAATTCTAGCACCTATCTTATTGTCTAAATGTAAATATCGTCCTCGCCACACCACGGAGACAGCAATTCTTTTGCTTGAAAAGACACCAAAACATTACTTAAAAGGAATAAATTGAAAGTCGTTACGTCACTCTGACCATAAAAGCAGCGCCGCAGAAGTACCGCGTCAAGCTGTGTGCGCGCGAGCCCTGTCGAACGAGATTTTCCCTCCCTCCCAGCCTATTAAACTCCTGCAGGGAGGAGCAACTGCAACGGCCAAGTTGTAACGACACCAGGTGGCAGACAGCTTTGCCCATGCTGGCCCAACTGATGTTATGTCTCCAGTGATGCATCGCACTCTCCAATGGCTCGTCTCCGAGCGCCTGCTGGAATCGGTTGTCGGAAGGACAAATATAGCAATACATTCAAAATACAAATGTGCGACTGTCATTAGCAGAGAGAGTTGATCATGTAACTCATTTCTGAATCTGAGAGGTATATTTTAAGTTTCAATTCAGTATCCCTTTGACACATGGATTGTCAGCATGAATGCAGTTCATTTTTTTTTTTGCCATCTCAGTTTGCCACAAGCCCGCAAGACTCCGTTACATGGCTGCACTGCAGTCAATGAGTCCGATGTACTGCTTTCCGAAAGAAAAAATCAGCTAGGTCACGGTTCCTCCTTCAGGTCTGAAATATCGAACAAGTCCGAATTACCAGCGTCTGAAAAACCGGTCGGCGACTGTAGTTGCAATTTTATTGTGTAAATGGTACTGCCACATATATGTTGTCAGTCAATGCTCTCTTTTCCGTGGACGACGTGCCGTCATGTACTATTCTAGCCTGGGAGAAGGTCTCACCCTTTAACAGAAGGCTGCACTGCGGCAAAGCCACATCCATAGAATCGTGGTCTACTCCGCGAGAGTTGCCTCTCTACAGTGCACTAGTGCGCGATGAGAAGCCAATTTAACAAAAGTAATGAAACCGCTTGAACAGACCACCAAATATCGGAAGTATTGTGAAACTTCCGTGCACTGCGTGGTGTTTGATATGAAGATCACATCAAACCACACATTATTCTAAGCGATACCCAAAAATCCTGAAAATTTGCGCAAGCTTACTCTAACAACCTGTAAGTGTAACAACGACCCAGTTATTAGTGAAGATAGAGTGAGTAGTGAGCTGGTTGATGTTACACATTTTAGAAAAACCGGAGACGACAAACGAAACAACGGACAAAACGTTTTGTGTGTTAACCCCCTTTTTCGTCCATTTTCTTAAAAATGTGAGCTATTAGTTTCTGTTTTGATAAAGTGAAATGAGCTTTTGGCACAATGTTGCTACAAATTACTCAAATTTTAGTGAAACCTAGCAAGGTTTGGTGCAGCAACCAGATCACTGTAATAAGGAACAAGGAGTGGACAGGGGAGACAAATCTAATTCCATGTTCAAGGACTAGCACCATTATAATCACCACTACAGGGAGTTTCTTTCGGATGACCAGCCTCCAGCACAGCAATACCATATTTACTCGCATAATGAACACTCTTTCCCAAAAAATCGACACATATTTGGGGGTGGGGATCATTACACAGGGTAACATTTTTGCATTTACACACTGTGTGCAAATGTCATATTAGGTGCCAATATGACACGGCAAGGTACTGTGGCATGTCTCCAGAGATGGAGGCGCGCGCACCCACGGCTGGTCGGGGGCGTGCCACAATAACCATGCTTTATAAATTGCAAACCTTTTTAGGGCGCTTTCGGGGTGCCTTTTGTGGAAGGGAAAGCGCCCTACCAAGCTCACTCAGCACGAAAAGCAATACACCTTTTAAGGCGATATATATTGCTAGTATCTGGCGGGCACGCTCAGGTATAATCCACGACTATGCGTATAAGAACTCGTAGGAAGTCCAACCCCCCACCCCCTAAGCCCGCTCGCACGGATCAAGTTTCGTTCACAGAGAGGCTACCAGACACTCTCAGCGTACAGCAGAGTGTGCACCTCGCTCTGCCGTTCTGTTGCGGATTAAATAAACGCATTTACCCGGAGTATATGAAATTAGGCCAAACCACTTCCACGATTTCACTGTCCGAAAGCAGACCACAGACGAAGGCTTGCTTGTTGACATTAAAGCATCCGATAGGCCAAGAATGTCCGGGGCTCGGCAATTCCTCAACCCAAGCTTTGTCAAGTGTGCGCGACGCTCGGTTTCACGGTTGATCACTTCCGTAACTACCGCAACTACGCACTTGCGGCCATTACAAGAGCAGCCTGGCTTGGGTTGACTTGGCCTGACCACTTGGCAGCAAAAGAAAACTGGCTTGGTGGCCTGCTAAATTGGACGCAATTCGAGACTCGTAGATCCGAAAATTGGAGGTGCGTTAATTACGGGAGGAAAAAAAAAAAAAGTCAAAATATTGATGCCCGTTGTGGGGGGTGCGTTTATTATGCGAGTAAATACGGTAGTTGCCCCGTGAAACCGCTACCTTGATATCCACATTTCCCCGGCTTCGCTCAATCCGCACAAGATCCTTCATCTTCCAACTGGAACGAGAACCAAGCTGAGCTCGTTTCTCACCTGCCTTTAACCCTACGACGGTCGTTGCCCTACATCAGGGGTTCTCAAACTGGGTTCCGGGGAACACAGGGGTTCCACGAGCTGGTCTCATGGGTTCCGCTAACACCCATATTGCAACCCCCCTCTCCTCCCCCCACCCCCCATGCCGCTGGCTGCGCAGCAGGACCGTGCAAAGCGCCTTCATCTCACTTTGTACTGACATTGCAATTGATATGGTGGGGATATATGGGAAGCAACACAAGCAAAATTGCCTACAATTGTGCATCTGTTGCTTTTCGGTGGGCAAATATGGAGGGGGGGGGAGGGTTCCGCGACCGTATTTGAGGCTTCCTGGGGTTCCGTGAGACCGTAAAGTTTGAGAACCCCTGCCCTACATGTACAGCGGTGATTACGCATTTGAAAGTGCCCACCTGAACGCGGGAGGTGTTGCTATTTGTTATGCCTTTGGTGAAGTACAAAATGTTATGTTCACAGATTGTTTCGCATTGCTGGACTATTTCTAGTTTCCAAATGATGTAACACAGCCCTAGCGGTAGTGCCCAAAGGGAGCACCGGCTCTTCCAATTCAGACTTCTTACGCTTTTCGGAATTACATTTAGGCAACGAGAGCTCATCATCCAACTAAGTTCTGTGGAGTGCCTCCGGTTAGGAATCTGAAGCCGCTGGAACATTGCAGAAGCTGATGCGCCAAAACGAAACTGGACAGAAGGAAGGTGACAGCTTTTCAACTTCACTATATTGATTTGATGCTTCTAAACCTAATCAGCTTGCAAGCACTCTACCCACTCCCACTAGATAACTAAAAACAATTCGGCAGAGGCACTTAAGACTGCTTACATGTAGGAATGCTTTTGCATTCCTACATGCAGTGCATTTTTACAAGCAGCGCACTAAGTTTTCCTTTTTCACACGGCGCTTCAGAGGTGACATTACGCTCCCCCACTGCGCAGGCGCGGCGAACCCCGCCGGCTTCCGTGACAAAGCGTTGCGTTGCTGTGCCTTCCTTCGAGTTTTATTTTTAAGGCGCATCCGTTCTGATCTTGAGTGCACCCGCTGGCTTCTGTGACGAAGCATCTGCACTGCTGTGCTTTTCTTTGTGTTTTATTGGGAATGAGAATTTGGGTGCCGTTTCGCTCAGCCAATGAAAATTTAGGTGCCATTTTCCACTGCTACAGACAACGGCTACAGACAACACCGACTTCGCCCCCTTCTTTATACCATTTTTTGCGAACAAAATTAGACACCAAAAAACATCTTTTAAGAAAAAAAAAGTTGACCGTTAAGGAGGGACCCTACCCAAGAGGGTCAACCTTTGAACCTATGGCTTAATAGGAATGGAATTTCCAGTATATACTGGCAGTTGCAAAGCAGAATGCAGTGCAAAGTTTCATCTGTGTACATGAATTATAAAATAAATTATAGTTGTTTTATCAGGAACACACAGACTTCATTTAGGAAATCTATCGTTAGGAAACTAATGTAATACTCAACATTTTTCTACTCTAGATCTGCTGCAGCAGAATGCCTGGAGTGCAACTGTGAAAGCAAAATTTCCAAAAAGTAATCTATTTTGTTACCATCGCAGTAAAATATCAAATATTTTTTTTTCCTTTAATGTTGTCGACAAAATCTTAACATCTTTTATAAAAAACATACCCTCCCCTAAAAAAAAAACAAAAAAACAATCAGCGAGTCTTTTCTCTTGTCCCATTAAAGGGGCCCTGCAATCATATTTAAGCGTCTACCTTTTTTGCAGTTTCCAAGTCTCTTGGGGTTCGGGCAAGCCAGCGGGCACGGAGAGAGTAACTAAATATCAGTGCGTCATATTTTAACCGGACGATGCGGAAACCTCCTCCACCGACGAGGGCGACCCGCGGTACCAAAAACGCGCAAAATGTGACGTCTTTGGTCCTGAGCTTACTACTGGTCAGAGCCGCTAAAAACTTATTTTTAGTCGAAATGCAAAATATAAGCGGCGCGAACCGTTTCAATTACATAGAAAAGTAGTTTTTGTTCAGTATTTTAGATCAGAAAAGAAACGAGTGCAGTTTATAAAGTACAGAAACAAGAAATGACCGGTCGACATACCCGCCACCAAGCGGTGGAAAAGGCGGCGCATACTAGAAAGAAGTAGTGAGATCAGGCGCCGACGCCGGAAAGGTCCCGGATGTACGCGGCGGCGCTACGGTCGTATGAACAGGAGGATCCGCCCGGTTCCGAGCGTCCCAAAGGCCTTCGGCGAGAAGCTTTGTCTTGTGGTTTGGCCGTTTCGCGATATGGCAGCGCGAACTGGCTCCCATTCTGAACATATCTTTACCCCGTGTTTGCTGTCGTTTGTGGCCGATGAAGTGTCATGCCGAATTAGTGTTTAATCGCGCAGCAAATGCAATGAGAGCCGCTCTGGCTGCCTGCTGCATACAGCCTATCCAGAACATGCTTTAGTGGCGCCCTCTCGCGCCGTCGACACGGAGTGCGGCAGCCGTGAGCGCTCGCGGTGAGCCAACTACCCCTCGTCTAGTTCACGGCCACTCAAGCAACCAAGGACGTCATGAGGGAGGTTATTTTTTGCTTGTTTTTGTAATTTTCATTTGCCTATAACTTTTAAAATAAAGCGAATTTCGAGAAAAGAAAAGTTTCACTAAGTTACTACGTTCAGTGTTCTCAGGTTCGGTGCAAACTAAACCAGTAAAAAAGTGCTTGCAGGGCCCCTTTAACAAACGATTGTTTTCCGAAAGTGAAATTTATGCCAAAAAGCATCAGTGCAACGAAAATAATTTATAAGAAATTAACTATGCTGTGCAGACTAATGAAACTTCCTGGGAATACTACTCTCTAGGATTTAGTCAGTGTAAATATATTTTTCAAAATCAAATTTTTTTGCAGAATTTTTTTTCTTAGGTAATGTCCCCCTATAAGGGTTAATAGACTTTCGTTCGAACATACAAAAAGTAGCCGAGCACTCACCGGCGGCCTTCTCAACTGGCGCCTTCGGCTTCACCTTCTTCTTGCCGTTGGTGGCAGCAGCCACCACCTTCTTCACCGTCGTCTTGGGCTTGGCGGGGGTAGAGGCGACTTTAGGAGCGGCCGCGGCTGCCTCAGGCTTGCCCTCCTTCCGTGCGGCAGCAGCGGCGCTCGCGGCCCGTGCCTTGGCTTGGTTATTCTTGGCCTCCGACCTCTTGAGGGCACCCCCAGGTTCGTACTTGGTCTGTTTGACGGACAAGAGCGTCACGAAACGCCCCTCGAGCACCTCGGACGTTCTCGTCGCTCAACCGACAAGAGTGTGTGGCGCATCTCGAGTTTTGACAAGGTTTCAACCACACAAACGTGGGCTTACCAAAACTCCAAGGACTACCTACTGTCCTCGGTGCCCAGGTAAGGCTTGGAAGATCGACAGATGCATCACGAACGGGCGTATACGAGTCACTAACAAGACAAAGTCCGCAGCCCGTGTTTTTCAAATGCCCGGCCTCTGGCACATGCTCGTTGCCTTATGCCACGGCTGCACACGTGCATGCTCCAAGCTAACGATTGGCCAAAGTGCCACCAATGCTAGGAAGCTCGCACTGGATATGGCGCAACTGAAAGCACTCCCCGCTGTTCTCCATCCGCAGGTAACTATGGTCGCGACCTCGACAGGGCTCGCAGTAGTCGCGAAGCGCTCAAAATATAAGTGCGACAATGTTTCTGGCTTTGAGAGGAATTAAACGGCAGTTGCGGCAGCACGCAAGAGAAGGTCGGGAACACGCACCCTCTCGACGGAGATCATCTTGCCGTGCAGCTCGGTGCGGTCCAGGTGTTGGATGCACTTCGTACCTTCCTCCATGGCTCCCATGGTGATGAAGCCGTAGCAGCGGGCGCCCGGGGTGCGGGCATTGGTCACGATCTTGGCGGTCACCACCTGAGCCGAGGTACACAAACGTAGTCTGCAGGTCAGTACTCTGGCAGCAAAATTAATCTTAATGAACGAGGAAGGTGGAGACCTGGCTTCCTCATGCGAGGTCTTCCAATTTAACGACGCAACCCATCTATAGGCCCGGTTTCACGCTTGCACATAACTGCTCTCATCTAGAATAGGATCGATAATTCAGACTCCAATAGTTGAATTCCTACCAGTGGCTCACGTTAATTATTTCGTTGGCCGCTATATTATTTTGATGCACTTGGAAACCATTTAAAATTCCTATATTGCCTTTGGGCACTTCGAGAGAAACAAAACAAGATGAAACAGCACGCAGCAGGATTTCCTTCTCTGGCACGCACCTTCCCATACTTGCTGAAGAGTGCCTTTAGGTCCGCAGCCCGGGTGGACGAAGAGAGGCCGCTCACCCACAGGTTGCGCCCGCTCGAAGTCGGTGCCACTGCCTTCTTGCCGTGGTCTGCATGCATGCACGCACAGTCAGGTAAGCAAAACTCATGGACCACCAGCGATACGGCCTTCCCTCACGCATCACACAAAGCTTGACACAACCGCTCAGCAGCATTATATAAAATGCACACTTGAAAACGCAGTTTCAGCAGGACTATACCAGAAAGAATACCAGACAAGTGCCTAGCAAGAGACGCTATTTCGACGCAAGAAAAGGTGAAGATGCCTACTTGCACGCAGCCATTGCTTTATGAGTGTCTTCCCTGAAAGGAGCGATTAGATGCAACTTACAAAAAACTTCTTTCAAGTGAATGATTAGGGTTAGAAGCACTTAGAATGACAAAACTGAGCAGTGCAGGATACATAGCATGCTTTTAAGCTGCAAGTAACGAACCAAGCTGCAGGTCTCCCTTTGAGAGCGGGGAATCTCCTCAACAAAAGAAAAATCTAGCCTTTCCTCTTTTGTTCAATTACATCAGTTAGATAAGCATGACACACATGAAACGGAGCAAAGGCTCGCAAATACCAAATTAAGTGGTACACAAAGGTATGCCCTACTATAAAGGCATCGCTGACAAAGCCCGATCTGGAAAAACAAAATCGGTATTTGGTACTTCCCCTACCACGCGCAAGTATTGATCGGGCAGGCACCTGCCCAAATTTTGAGATAATCACAAAAAAAAATGGAGTGGGTGCTTGTTAGGTCATTGAGCAGAAAAGCAGAAAGGGCACGTTGTATAGGGTAGGCCCCCATTTGAAGACAGAACAATATAGAAGGAACCGGTAATTTTTAAAGCAGCCATGCCTTCCTTATGGAACCTGTGTCTCGCTCTGCCTTCAAGGTTTATCGCTTCGCTTCACAGCCTTGCACTGGCTTAACGAAGAAGCAACTGACGCTCAGCGGGCACAAGTTTTGTGGGGTGGGCACCTGATATGTCCTTTGCTTATTTCAAATGTATCAGAAGTAGAGGGTGGGTGCTTATTGCAATGCGAGTACATGCTCGGTATTTTATGACAAGACTACTAAACATGAATGTGTGAGAACACAAACGTCCACTGCCCTTCAAAGTAAGCCTCTAGAGGAGCTATGCAACAATCTTTCCTCATAAAGTGCAGATTCTGAATTTTGAAACCTGTGATACTACTGAACATCTGATCCCTCCTTCGGAAGAGTGAAACCACAAAAAAATACAATGCAAATATTTTTATGTTTAGTGTCGACAAGACATTATTTTACAACAAATTACTTTTCTAAACTGGAGACAGACTGAAGACAAGGATAACAAGGAACTCACCCTTGCTGCTCTTTCCAGCCACTTTTGAAGCCACTTTCCCTCCAGCGCTGGTACACAAAAAGGTTGGGAGAAAAAAAACAATGAGAACATTCAACACTCTGGCAGAAGCACTGGGGGCAACCCAAAATGCACAGGGGAGCTAGGGTCAGAAGGGACACCAAATGCCGGGTCGGGCAGGCAAGGAACCTAGTGGTGACGACATCCCCTGAAGTGCTCCCTTTTTTTTCCTCTTTCCTCCGATCCAAAGCGGGGCAGCTGTTTTACTCTGCAGGACAGTAACTTGCAAGATTCTCTTCTGCTTCAACACGAACAAAGGCATGAAACGGACCGGAACCTCGGTAACTTTTGGAAGTGGGACGTGGGTGCCAGTACAGAATGCAGCTTTCTTCAGTCTTCTTGCAGCGTTGGTACAGCTTCCAGACAGCTACAAATGATGCCTACCGTACCAAGGCTGTCTTCTCATGGACCCAAAACAGGAACAGGCGCTGGAAGTCCTCTTACACTCAGCTACTGGGTCTCAATGAATCGTTCGAAGCACACGACTTCGAGAAATGACGAGTGCTACGGAAGAAAGGGTGCAGCTAGGCCAGCCTAAATATCTACAAAAGCTGATGATGCCTTAAAATATAGCTAATGATCCCCTGGGAGGTAAAGAGTAGAAGCTTGAATGACAAGAGCAATACTTTGATGACAGCAGACGGAGAGTGATTGTACGAGTCTTGCAGGGCGAAATGATGGTCCCCCAGAGGAAAAGCCAAGGTCTTCTTTCTTCGTTCAGCACCTTCTTCAAAGTCGCAAGAAACGCAACACGAAACAGCAGCGGAGTCCCGGGACGCGGCTTGCGAGCGTGTGTCGGCGCCCACGCTCCCAAAACGGCAAGGGCAGTAAACTGCAGAGGCGTCGTCTTCCCCCGGAAAGCAGCTTGGCTAAGACGCGCCAAGAGGACCTCCCAACCGCCCTTGGGACATTCCCGGGGGTGTCCAGGGAGTCGCTATCAAACCGGCGCGTGGAAACCGTCCGACAGCCCCGCAGAGAAGAGAATGACAGCGGTGCAGGGGGGTGGTTGTCTCGCGATGTTGGCGGCACCTCACCGCCAGGTTCCAGTGCCGTCCCCAAACGTTTCGTGGGCAGGACCCAAGGGGCCGGCGACGGCAGCGCCGCCGTGGCTTCCCGCCGACGCCGCCCCGGGGGCCGTGAAAACCTCTCTGTGCGCACGTCAAGACCAACCTCTTTGCTGCGGCGGCCTTGGCAGGGGTGGTGGTGGGAGCCGCGTTGGCTGGTGCATCGTTGGCAGCCTCCGCCGCTTCTTCCTTCTTCGTGTCCCCGCCCTCTTCCCCTCCCTCCTCCTTCGCAGGTGCTCCCGGCTCGGTGGACGAGGTCGCCTTGTCCTGGTCTTTGGGGCCGGCCTTGGGGCCCTTCTTCTTGGCTCCCTTGGCGTCCGGGGTGGCGCTGCTGTCAGTGCCGCCGTCTGCGCTGGCGTCTTCCTGATGGGAGGCTTCATCTGCGGAGGGAAGGCAAGGGAGGAAAAGGGGTGGGGCACAGGCAGGCGACGGGGGCCGCGGCGCTCTCACGTCCTCTCTTGCGCGCCGCTGGCTTGCCGGCCAAGGTCTGCTGCGACACTCAGATTGCGCGCATCACGTTAGGCAGCGCGGGTGCTCTCGTTGGGAAGGGGGCCGAGCTTTCTGTGGCACTTAACTCAAACACCTCCTAGTTGAACAAAGCGCTCCCTGCCCACTCACTAGCCTCGTTTCCGAGAACAAGTTCTATTTTTTTTTATTTAGGATCCCTTCTTCAAACAACGAATGCGGGGCACTGCATTCATTGTATCCACTGCCTCACGGGATAATCCTTTAAAACCCCCTCAACCTTTTTCCTTTTCTGGCAACGATTACATAATAGAGCCACCAAAGAAAATGAGAAATGTGCGTGACTTAATGCATTGGGTCAAGCGCTACTATGGCCTAGAGCAAGGAGAGGCAGAGCTACAAATGTGGATCCATTTTCTTTGCTCCTTTCCTCCTCCGCTCCGCGTGTTTTGCGCCGTGGGGCCGCACTCATTGGAGGTGCAGGTTTAGCGAAGGCTCGGCCAGTAGAAAATCCTCGACACGTCCGCCGCAGAAGCGGCCTTGAGTGGACGATGCACCGGCGCTCTAGGCCCGGAGTTCCACGTGCCAGGAAAGCCTTCGTTTCCCGCAGTCTGCGTTCTTGTGTAGCTTGACGCGGCTCCAGAATGGCAGGAGGGGGGCTGGCTGACGTCCCGCACTGCTGCTTAGCTTGTTCTGTTGTTGTAGACGCCGTGCTCCTCAGGAGGCGACGAAAGGTTGTTGCATGCCGCTTCCCGGGATGTGGTAGAGTGATGCACACTTGGGAGAGGGAAGGAGAAATGCCACACCCTTTCCCCGCCAGTACTCACCTTTTGACTTGTCGAAGCTCTCCTCCTGAAAAGTATAAATGCCTAATTATTTCTGTCAACTTATCACTAGCAAACATTGGCCACAAGAGAAGAAAAATTGGTTCTTTTCTTTACCTCTTCATTCAAGAGCTTTTCTTCATCTTCTATTGACAGCTGGAGTGCATCTGCATCCATCACTTCAGAACTCCCCTCCTTTAACAAAAGAGCAAAGCTTGTTTGATGCTACAGGCAACGTTGCTGCACACAGTTTTGATGCTACTGTATTTTCCCTCAGAGCAGCTCCCCGATTTATACTGAGGTTGTACACTAGTGATGTATGACCAGCTTAGAGCAAGCCCAACATCTTACACCCACTCCAACAGTTATTGAATGGCAGCCAACAATATGGTTCTATGTGGTAAACCTAAAAGCGAAAATACAGGCGCTTTACGTAGCAATGCAGCTAAGGCTATATGCGATGCCCCGGGGATTCTATGAGGAAGGGACCACACGGGGGTCATGTTCTGAACCTGGCACTCGGAGTGCTGAAACAGAAGGCAGTCCCTCTGTGCGGCTCCTTGCATTTTAGTCTCAAAAAAGCCAAGGGCTTAACTCCTTAGCTACCAAAGCCGGCAATTTGCCGGGCTGCATGAATTTCTGTTTTAAAGAGCCATTCACAGATGGCACATTATGTAGGTTTGGGGTTGTCTAGTTAGATACATTGCCAACAGATAGTGAAAGTCATTCCGTTTGTTTTGTTTGTTTGAGCTTGTTCTTTTGTGTGTCATCTTTCCCACTCGATCGCTGCCTGCTTGGAGAAGATGGCAGCGTCCCGTGTACGGTAAGGCCTTCCTGACGATGAAATCATAGATATCCTCTTCGACAGCGATGATGATGAGACGTCTGTTGAGGATAGTGAGTTTTCGGAGCCTTCTGTCGACGACAGGGGCGATTCCGACAGCAGTTCAGAGACCGAAATCACGACAAGGTAGCACTGGTTGTGCGACGCCTTTCAAAGTCTTTCAAACGAGGAAACATTTGTGAAGGCTTAGTGATTCGCAGACTTGAACGAATCACTGAAGCATGTAAATAAACATGTTTTCTTGTTTACTGCACAGAGTTTTACAGTAAGAGCTTATTATACAAGCAAATCAGTCACGCCTAGTGTGGCCGTTTTAGGAGAAAAACATGCGGCACAGACGGCGCGACACGAGCAGTAGCCAATGGGTTAAGAGAGCTCCAGACACAGACCTTTTCCTCTTCTTCCTCCTCTTCATCAACAGTCTGGTGGTCAGACTCGCTCTCTGCAACTTTCCCTTAAAGGAAAAAGAAGTATGAACTAAGCATGGCAACTTGGCAATGTAGATTTCTGATTTCAAACGTTTGTCAAAAAAAGAAAAACTGCAACTATACTCCGTTTCACCTTAAGACAGACTGTGGCGGACGCTACGAGCTATCCCAGTCGATCGGACACTCAGAAATGTATCGCACGACTGCATCTGTCGTAACGCTAAATGGAGCACAGAAGCGGTATTTCAAGCTTCGACTGTCTAGGCAATCACACAGTTTGTCTGGCACTAGGTTCACAGGTTCCCTAGCGTTTTCGGGAGTACTACACCCGCCCAAATTAGCGCCACTCCCTCCTCTTCACAGCCGTCTCAGCTCTAACTCATTTTCAACTCAGGTGCACTTCAGTGTGCAATAAAAAAAATTGCTTGGAACAAATTTCAGAACTGTGAAGTGCTGACACAAGTGCTATAGTCACTCACAGCGTGAGAATGGCTAAAAGGAGCTTTTGTAGGCACCACCATTCCCTCGATGACTGGTTTGCGGTCTTTTTACTCAGTGTGCACGGGGCACCACTTGACTTGATAAATACACCCCATAAAATTTACCAGAAGTTGAAACTCACGAGCATTATAAAGGCGGAATAATTAAAAATATTGTTGAATACTATTGTTGACAATGGTGCTGGTAGTTTGCTGTGCTACCAATTGCTTGTCGTGAACCGAATATATATATGGGCGTTTTCATTTGGATTCAGGCAACGAGATGCAATCATATTTTTTATTTTGCCTCAAATTTTTATATTTCAGGGCACATGTTCCAGGAAGAACAATCCTTTTTATTTTAATGTCCTGACATGTTTAGTTTCTGAGAAAAAAAATCTCAAAGAAGCAGGAAAGAAAAACGAAGTTTTGACGATTGTCGTGAGTGGCGTTTTTGAATCACTCTCAATCTAGAAGTATTCAAAAGAGAGCGTCTATATTTTTTTAGTACGATATATATGGAAGTATGCAAGACGACATTATAGGTAACTGCTATTTATTATTCGTCACTCCAATTTTTGTAAAAATCTCCAAACATGCCTCCGCGGAGAACTGTGACCTAAATTGCGGACTTTTTTAGTAGACTACGTTTAGTGTCGCTTTTAAAATACTACCACGTGTAGAACCTTTCATTGCCTTCCACATTATGCAAAGTTTGTGTTTTAATCGTCGGAGGGCTGAAGGTTCCACACTTCAGCCCTCCGACGGCTGAAGTGTGGAACCAAAGCCAGCCCAAAAGTCAAACCTCAATCTTGCAATGTCATGCTCTTTCGAACAGTGAGGTGTTCCTTGTCGCCTGGCCACGCGCACGCACGCTACACTCCTTTAATTTGTACGAAAATGGGTGGGCGAGTGAGACTATACGTGGCTTGCATATGACGTCATAGAAAGAGCGCTCCGATGACCTCCAGAAAAAAGGGGAAGAAGAAGCTACCCTCTCATCAGGATCCTCCTTTGTGCCTCCCGGATATGCACAAACGTCGCAAAGTCAAATTTGGGGGTTCTACGTGCCAAACAAACGACGGGCATCTGGCACACCCCAGCGAAGGACTGAGGATTAATCTGGACCACCTGGGGACCTTTTGACGTGCAACCGAAAGCTCGGTTACATGGCGCCTCCTCCGCAATAAGCCTCCGTCAGATTGCGGCAGTCTTGGGCAGTAACTAGTTACTAGTAATGCATTACCGGTAACCAGTTACTTCTTCCGGTAACTTTTACCTGTAACGCGTTACTCTTTAATACTGGGAACTTGTAACTGTAGCACTGTTACTTTTTTATTAGGTAACTGTAACTGTTTAGGCCGTTACAGTTACTTTCTTTTTTTTTTTACTATATAAATTAGAACCCACTTTCACGGACATAGAAATTGCCACCCTGGAAGTATTTTTCTCCAAAACTCCTCGCTGACAAACAAAGAAAAGAAGCGTGGTTTCGCAATAAACAAACAAAAAAAATTGCCTGGTTTAGCCCACGACCCAGAATGGACGACGGACAAGTCAGCACGAAACCTGGAGATAAAGGAAGCGGCGCCAGCGGTGGTAGGGGCGGCAAACAATGTCTGTTTCACCGACTTTGGCTCACTCTTCTCTCGCGGGGACAATCTGCGGGTGTCGGTGGTCGTGCGATGTCTCCGAGTGTTCGGTCTGGACTCTGGGCTGTGTTTGGGATATGTAAGTGCTGTCGTTTTTATACCCAGCCGTTCACTGTTTCCTCATCCCTATTAGTTTTCAAGCAAGCCGTCCCCATAATGTGCAGAAAGCCGGCGCTTCTTTACCTTTTTCTCTTAAGAGCCGCTCGAGTAAACATGACTTCCGCAATTGGCGTTTCAGGTATATCCCATAAGGTAATTATGTGACCATCTCTGTCCTCATTCGTTTCAGAGTGAAAAATAACCCAAAACGTTCACTGACGCGGGCCGATGACAATTTTAAAAAACTGTTGATTCTAAGTTATAAGAAGTATTGGAAATAAATTATGCACATCAAAATGCTGAAATGGCGAATGACGCAAAAAAGAAACACCCTTCGGGTTTGACTTTTTAAAACTTTTCAGTTTACTTTTCTTCTCACCATAATGTAACAAATAAAATAATATTGTTTTAGTTTGTGATTTCTTGTGTTCAATTTTTGTACTGTAACGAGAAAGTAATGGCGTTACTGTTTTTTCAGTAACTGTAACACGTTACTTTTTAAACCGGTAACTGTAACTGTAAGAGTTACTTTTTCCTCCTAGGTAACTGTAACTGTAACACTGTTACTTTTTACAGGTAACGTGCCCGAGCCTGCATTGCGGGCACCTCGGCCGGGATTCAAACCCGCTACATGGGGATCCGTAGGCCAGCGCTCTCGACTCAGAGCCACCGAGGTGGCTGCACAGACGTCGCTATTCTCCTCCCAGAGTAACCTGTCACTTAAAATTCTTACAAAAGCAGCTTCCCTCTCCTCCTTTTACATGGTTGTCAAAGTATACATGCGATGACAGTGCAAGGAGCCTATACTTCGTTTCACCTTATATCGAAGCGCGGACGATGTTATGACCCGAAGGGCCAATCAAACAGCGCAAAAAGCGCAATGTCGTGGCGTGCTCCCTGCACTTGATAGGACTAGCCAATGGAGGAGCATGCACAGAGAGACGGCGAATACCGGCTAGTCCTTTCAACTGCACAGCATGCCACGACGTTGTGCCTCTTTCGCTGTTTGATTGGCCCTTCGGCTCATAACATCGGCTGCGCTAGGACCCAAACTTAAACTAAGTATAGCGACTTGTCTGGCCTTGGTTCTGTGCTTCAGCCGACGGAGGGCAGGACAGCTGCCGCCAAGAAGCGCTTGGATAATAATTTAGAACCAGGAAATGCGTCAGAATTGAAGGGTTTTTCAAAACATAGTAAAACGCTCGGCATGCTTTATAGTTGTCTAAAAAGGGTTGACATAGGGGTTATTGATGATGCCGAGTTGGTTACTAATTGAAACTACTACCTTAAAATAAACAAATAAAAAGTTAATTTCTAAAAAAACAAAACAAAAATTATTATTTTTTTTTTTTTTTTTCAATTATTATTTTTTCTAAAAAGGCTCTGGGCAGACACCAACACGGCATCAACCTTTTTTTTGTGCGATGCTTAGTTTTTGCAGGAGGAATTTGGCCCGAGTTCTCTGAAACACCCTCTATATAATAAAAATTGTTGCAGAAATCACTATTGCTGGTTGTCTATGAATTGTGATAGCAATCATCAAGAGGAATATGTCAAAGACGACCTTTAAGGCCTCGTTCACACAGCCGATTTTTTCACCTCATCCCAAAGAAAGGGACGGGCGGCCTTTCCGCCGGGGAAGGGGGTTTTGAGACCGGTTTCCGACCGAAATCGAGCCGCCGGAGCCGAAATGAGCCGAAGGTTAATGTTTTACGTCCACCGGCACCGGCGGGTGACCGAGAAAGCCGGCGCCCTGCCCCATTGAGGGACGGCCAATACAAAATAGGAAACTTTTGCTGAATCTGGCGGATTCTCAAAAGTTGGGTGACCATGGGCATGGCTGCAGGAGGAAGAATTTACTGTACTGCGCCTTAACGCAATAAAGACGAAGCCAACGAAGCTCTTTTCGGGAAGGAACGAGACCAGCGAGACGATGGGCGCGTTGTGCGATGTTTACGGCTCTTGAACAACAAGCATACAGAGATTTGAATTTACCGCCGAGCTGCTGCTCAAAATGGTAAGACATTGGTTCCTTTGCGATAGACGTGAACGCAATTTTAAGAAAGAACAGCCGAAGAAAGAAAACATGGCCGTCGATCATCATCGAAGAAATGCGGCGTAAGGAGTGATTGACGTCAAACGTGCTTGCAGTGGATCTTGTTGTTTTTGTTTCGAAACATAAAAACACAAAAAAATGTTTTCAAACATTCATGATCGTTATTGGCGACTCGAACACAAGCTCCAAGGAACAAAACAGTTGTGGCAGTGCCCATCGATGCCGATCGTCCACTACATTTGGCGGTCGATGCCGCCACAGAGCAGCCACAAATAGGGGATTACAAGATTGGTAGAAGAAATCGAGGGAAGTGTGAAATTGCGCATAAAACTAATAGGTTATACCGGTTATACAGTCTTGCGGGATACAAACGTTCAACACAGAATTGGAAAGGTGTAGAAAGGTTTTTAAGCTAGGTGGTGCCAGCTACTGCCCAATATAGACCTTTTCACCCTCCGCCGCATGGGCGCTGCCATCTTGGAATCACGTGATGCGGCCGCCATTAGGTTGCTTCAACTTGTTGCTCCGTTCTCCCGTCCGCGCATTGGCGGATGCGTTGAATTCGTGTTTTTCGTCGCGCTTCACCGCGTCTCTTGCCTTACTCCGTAAAGTGTTGTCCGATACTTATACTCACCATGCAATTGCATTACATCATTCTGCGCGCAACTTGTGTAGTTAATAGTGTAACACATTTTGAATATTTTTTTACCGTCGGCGTGCGGGATACGTGTGAAAAGGCTTTATAGGAACAGGAATCAGCGTTAGCACTCGCGCACATTGACTACATATATGACTTAAAGAGAGCCTCGAGGGTTCAAATACCAATTAGTTACGAGAACTGAGGTTTGGTTACTAATAAGGGCGGACCATTTGCAATAGGAAGCCCAATGTTATTATATATGAGTGCGCATTGGTGTCAAGGGAGGAAACAAAAACACTCAGCGTAATTAACCACGTGTTTTTCCTGAAAGCATGGTGTTTTGTAGTTACAACAGATCGGAAACCGTTTCTTTTGATTACACTAGGGAACTTGTGGACAAGACGCTGGAACAAACATTTAGTTTGAATTATTTTTTATGCTTTAAATAATGGTACCTTAAAATTAGGCAACTTGTATGTTCGAAATATCACACCTATATCTGTTTTAATTGCTTAATCGCGTGTGTGATATAAGCATTCGCTTTATCGGTATATCTATGAATTCCACGGAATAGTATATCGCGCTTGGTCCCGTGTCCATAGTCTTTCAGTTGCTTAAGTAATTTTTTCATATAACACGAAGTTTGAATTAATTTATTTCAACACAAATATTTGGACTCCCCGCGTAAGAAACTGTCACAGACAACTTGATATTGCCTATGATTCACAAATTGTGACGCTGAAAAGAATCCTTCTGCATGAAAATGCCCTGAGTGCAGCCGGTTGTCGACGGCGAATAGGGAGTTCCTTTCAGTAGCCGGCGACGTCAAAATGTACAAAGCGCATCGTTTTAAATCAGTGAACAGTGAACACAGGTACATTGGGTGGCGCCTGGCGTTCGACTTCAGCCAAACTTATCGGAGATCATTTCTTTTGCGTTCTTCAATTTCATTCGGCAAATTTTATAGAAGATGAATATCAGACTTTATTTGAAGTCTGGCATTCACTTATCTCACCATTCTTATACCTTGAGAACGTCGTAAGCAAATGTCCATATAACAAAAAGTTTATTTCATAAGGCCAATATTTTGAAATGCTGTTAATGAGTACTTCAGTTAAAGAAATTTTCTAGTCAGGCCTACGCTGGTCTATCAAAATATTTCTCGAGCGCTTAATTTTTTTAAATAAAACAGGCAGGGACAATATCACTTTTTTATATTGTCTACCTGAATATATGAAACTTTTCTAGTCATTATAAAAGACGTTTCCAGTCTCGAAGTTAGAAAAGGTTGGTGTAGGGAAACCAAACATTGAACAGTATAAACTCGTCAGTTCATCTGTTTTTGGTGATTCGGCAGATTGTTAATCATGTTGTCGACCTGCTTTCTCACTAAGCACTGATGCAATATAGTCTGTTGCAATATAAGATGATCAGTTCAATATCTGACTTGAGCGCGAGCTATCTACCTTCCGTACCGCTCGGTGCACGCACAGCCAAAGCACGGCGGCAGGCAACGAGCGCACGCTGCAGGCGGAGCTTGTCCTGCTCTTTATTTTTTTCTTCTAGAAATTAGTGTCCGCGGGTACGGCCGTGGACAATGGTACTCCTCGCTGTGCATCAGCGCAGTTGTTTCACCGCCGAACCTGGCCGAAGTTAACGATGGACGGAATCAGACGTGCATAGTGTTCGTGAAAAAAATATCGCAATTTCGGCTCGAAACCCCTTCATGGTTTGCCAAGTGATTCAACACTATTGTTTCATTCGCTGTGTGCTAAAAGAAAGAAATTTATATCGCAAAATTAATCGAAAGTAACTTGAAACAGCATCACAATCGCGTGCACGTTGAAACCGAAACCGACCAAATTGAAGCAACCTAATGGCGGCGAGTGCGCCAGCGCCCTCTACCCGCCGGTCAGGCAACTACTGAAATGAAAAGATCTATAAAGGGACACAGCCACCAGCATCCATCTATTCACGTAACCACCGCCGGCAGCTCCGTCGTAGCTGGTTTAAACACTCCACCGTCCCCGCACCGTCCCGATTTCGGCACAGCGCTGAAGGTGCTTTCGCCAGGACGGGGCGACACGCCAGCTGTGTGAATGAGGCATAAGGCGGCCTCTAAGACAACCTCTAGGACGACGTCGAGGACATCGACGCTAAATCAATGTTCTGTTTATTTAAGGAAAAGTGGAGAAACTGAATTGGTGCATAGGTCATGCGACGTCAATTTTCCCACTAAATTCAGCGGGGAGCTTGAATTTGCCTGTAGGTCCCGTGACGTCAGGTCACGACATCAATTTTCTCACAAAATTTAGCGGGGAAACTAAAGTGGTGCATAGGTTACGTGACATCAATTTTTCCGCTAAACTTAGGGAAACTGAATTTGTGCATAGGTCAGGTGACAAATTTTTCTGCTAAATTTAGGATGCCAAAAAAGTCCACAAAATGGGGGGGGGGGGGGGTAGCTGAAGAATGTTATCACATTAAAAACAGGTGTTTACATATTTGTTACTGTGTACTTTCTTTCTTATAATATAGTGGTTTTAATTGCCTTCAATCTGCTTTGTACTATTTTAGGAAACAAGATGAGGCCCAACTCTACCAGCAGAAGGCTTAGGCTATTGAAGCGCAAGCATGCCGGGCAGAGCAAACGGAGCATCCAGTTGTGTTTTCACTGTATTGTATAGAACACTACGGGCTTCTACTGGTTCCGAATTGAGATGCTCGCGCTCAAGGGACATACTGGGTCACGCCTTGTTGTTCTCAGTGTCGGTGACTGCAGAGCCCAATGAAACTGTTGACCACACTGTTGAAAAAATGATTCAGTGATATGCGAGTGATCAGTCCTTTTGGAACACTTTTTGGAGCAGCAAAACAAACCTTGGGACTCCAAGCATATATTTAGTTTTCATTCCTTGCATTGCAGTGGGTGGTAAGGTAATATTCATGTTTTGACCTATCCAACTAAAAGAATGCCTTCCATGCCTTTTTACTTTTGTGCGTTTAGTTATTAGCAACTGTTATACAGCAGTTCGGTTCGCCAAAACACGCAGCTAAGCCTGCCAACCCTCCCCCGGCTACACCTATTTTGATAGTGGCATGCTACATTTTGGCACGGTCAACCACGTTCCTCTCCTAGCATTGATGTCACGAGAAACCGACGTCTTGAAATTGCACACGGGCACATTTGATTCGCCTCCTCTGCATACATCCGTGTAGAATGTGCGTAAAGTGCAACCAGCCTTGCGCCTCTTGGAAATATATTGCCCTGCACCAGTACTTGGTTGTGGGGGCAAAATGAATATGCCTCATTCTCGAACCAATGCCATTTAATCTAAAACTTGAGATATTTTCTACGTGCAATTTTATACCTTCTGAAGCACAACTTTCATAGCATGATTTTTGTTCACTCAGTTCTCCAGTAACCTAGCAGCGACTCTCGCAGAGTTCACGTATATTGCTGTGCAACCTACTTGTCTTTTTGGCAGACATGGGATCAGCCGGAACTTCAAACTCGTGGGCTTCGGGATCCAAGCCCTCTTCCTCTAGAGCCTGAAAAATCGAAGTGTAAATCATTAACACTATTTCAAAAGCAAGGTGAAATTACACCTCAGTTCACCTCGTCTTACCGAGCTGTCAAGTGTATAGGTAGTATTCACTGGCGGCCATAAAAGGGTCCGTTGCTGCTGAGTGCAAGCTGGCGTTGAGCTTCCACAAGCGCTGCACACCATCAAGATGGTATAGTTCTTTTAAGAAGGGGGGGCTTGTTCTGAGCATACGCTGTGAACACCACACTCAAATATGACACCCAGTGAATACTGCCCACTCACTGGCAGCCATAGCCGAGCTCGCTGCTGTTGAGCACGTGCTGACGCCAAGCTTCCACAACGCTTCCAACGGACATACTGCGCACCATCAATATTGTATTCCTTGGGAGAACATAACAGGGGTGGAACTCATGAAATGTACTTGGGAGCACCCACGGGAGCAGCTGAAACAGCTGTTTTGGAGCAGGTTGGGAGCAGCTAATACTATGTTCTGGAGCAGGCTAGGAGCAGCTCGGATCAGTTTTTGTTGCACTTTAGCTTGTGCCTTAGACAAGTACGGGAGCAATTTCAATTGTGCTAAGCAGTACGGTTAAACATGAGTGGTAAGGGACCTAGGGATATGGGATAACAGTGTAATAGATGTGAAAACTTGAAGCTTTGAATGAGAACCAAAAAGCAAGTACCATATGTTTCTGAAGATAGCATCCTTGATAATTTACGAGTGGCTTTCAGTTGCTCAAAATGCAAACCAGCACTGCTTATCGCACAACCCACACGTGCTCGACAAAGTAATTATATGTGCGAACCACATGACGTGTGTAAGCGACGGATGAGCAGTTGCACGGTTGAACAGGGAAACAAATTTCAAGTTTATCTTATGGTGCAACTCAATATCGAAGCAACAGACTACGATTAACGGAGTTATCGTGTTTGAAGCAATGAGCAGGAGCAAGGTTAAAGTACGCCGAGCAGATCTACCGCTCGCATGAGGGCTGCTGGCCGGCAAGGTTTCGGATTGGACCGCGTTTCAGTTCTATCAAATAACAATTTATCTTGAGAGAATGTGGTTCCATCAATGATGAAGTACATAAAAGGATTATTTTGCTCATTTGTTTTCAACTGGCTGACGTTCGGATCCCGGGCTGCAGTGCCTCAGGCAATCTGACCGCTCAACGACTCGACCTCACCTCGGCCGACTTTGATTAACCGCTTATGGTTGAAGAATAACAATCCAGTCGCAGGTGGTGTAGCACTTAGAATCCGAGTTTTTTCGCACGCTTCCGACTCAGGATACACAGGGAGAATAAACAGAACAAAGGATTACAAGGCCGACCAAGCTAAACGCGCTCATTGTTGCCACTCGAGTCGATAAAAATTGAAACCAAGACAAAAAATAAATTTTTGGGGGGGCACGCTTTGGAATTCAGCTCATAATGGCCCGAGGTATTGATTGTGGCGCAGTTTCTGCAACATGGCGCAGAATGGCGCAGACAAATGCGTCTGGCGCAAAATGGCGCAGTCGTTCCACCCCTGCATAAATAAGAACTCATCCAGAGTATGCCCTGTGAGCAGTCCAGAGGTCGACACTTTTGGTTGAACGCACTCACAGCTAGCTCAAAATAAAAAGTTGCCCTCACCCTCACGGCCTCTGGCTCACCGACTTCATGAACTTGTGCCCCTCACCAAACTCATGCACTCACCAGCCTCATAAAATCGTGCCCCTCGCCAAACTCATGAACTCACCCCTGATCGGCGAAGGTGAATCCACTCGTGAGTGAGTTTTGCCGAGGTATGGTGCAGTCAACTCAAATATGACTCCCAGTGAATACGATCTATCGCTTACAAAAGAGCAAGTGCTCGTCTTCAGCAAAAGTTGTCGCTTTCTAAACTAAGCTCTTCATGTAAGCTTCTGTAGTGCGTGGTCGAAAAGAACATGTCCCTGTGTATCAGCTTACAATAAATAATAATAAAAAAAAAGACGTGCAGTTAATTTGATTGGTTTCTTTCCAGTACCCGAGAAAAAAAATAAAATAAATAGGCGCTCGTAATATACATTTAAACACAGCTGCTGTTGCTGAATCTATCGCCAGCTACGCAAAGCACGAGACGTGTGTGCGAAAGGAAGAAAGCCGTACGTCATTTCGTTTGACGAGGAGTCACTAATGGGAAAATTACTCGTCATAGGCAGAAAAACAAAAAGCAAGAAATGGATTGCAGCTATTTGAGGGGCGGGGTGAGGGGGGGACTTTGCGGGCACGCTTATAAGAGCAAACGAAGCCTTGGAGAAGCTTGCTTGGGTACTGAAAGAAATTCAAAAGGACGCAGTAATATGGAACAGTCATATAAAACCGTAGTTCCAGAATCTAGGCCTAGTGCCTGATTTGTCGACGTGTTCATTGTTTCGACTAAGGCCTTAGGGACTAGTCATTTACCTTGGAGAGTCTTTCAATTAAAGCAGCTTTGAAGCCGGTCTTGTCCAAGTCTCGCTTCTCTAACTCGTTCCGGAGCTGAACGACTTTCAAGTCGCTTATTTTGCGTTTAACCACTGATCCACTTCCACCAGACGCCATGATCGAACGTCTTGCGGCAACGCCAGGCAACGCTTGCGGGAGTTGGCAAGGGGAAAGAGAAAGTGAGAGGGTGAGAGCTGGCAAAGCTGACAACGCTGACAAAGCCGCAAAGAAGGTGAAAAAAAAAATAAAAAAAAACAGTATGCAATTTTTGATTTTAGCGAGTCCCTTTAAAATTTAATGCCTCATATTAAATTTTTTTTAGTAAAACAATACGGACATTAGATTATGACCGTGGTCCGTGGAGTAAAAGAATAAAACTCTAGGGTCGCTCCCGGCTACCCCAACAACTCCCCTACTGCTCCTACGTAGAGAGCCTAGATTGTAGAGAGGGTCCACCTCACACCTTGGGGAGCGGTTGCAATTTATTGGCCAACGTCCAACGTTGCTTCCTGTCCTTCCTGTGGAGACTGGTCGCAAGTGCGCATGCGCTGCGTTGTCGCGTGGTGACGAGAAAGCAGGAGTACAGGCAAAGACGTCAGCAGACGCAGCAGACGGCCGGCCCCGATAGACCACGTGACCACCATCGAGCACAAAGCGCTCTATGAGTCGCCCAGTCCCCCCACCCCATCTTTATTCACAACGCATTCTCTCTCTCATACGGGCTCTCTACCCCTGAGCGGTTCACCCATTCACCGGTTCACCAGAGGCAGCGGTCACTGGGTTCCCCAAACAGATTCGGTACGCTCGCCTTGCCGTCGGCGTGCGTTGAAAAAAGTTACACCTTAGCTTAACTGGCATGAGGCGATGAATATACTCGGATTAATAAGCCAACTTTCGGGGCTAAGGTAAGTCCGTCTGCAAACGCACATGCGGTAAAACGTTCTCATAAAGAGCGTCGGTGCTCTTTTCAGGGTCGCCCACCAATGCTCGCGACTGGCTCCACCGATCTTCCTTGGCCTGAGCCACATACACACGTCAGTGCGGCTAAAGTGAGTTACTGGTATTCTAACTATCCACCGTATCGTAAGACACCGTCCCAAAATCGAACCTAAACCTCGCTGCTCTCTCGTAGTGCTGAGCCGCTCAAGAAGAAAAAGCGGCTGGATCCTGCCATCCTACGCATGAGGGAGGAACGGCGCAAACGAAGGATCGAAAAAGGCATTCGACAGCTCAAGAAACACGCAAAGAAGCACAAGCCCATTGAGGAAATGGAGGTGGCGCCGAAGTTGCAGAAAGAAATCGGGCAAGTTGTGGCGCAATCCCGAACAGAGCTGCTTTTGTGGTGACCTCCCCAAAATAACAGCTCAGTGGGGGGCTATGTTGCGCTTTTTGCACTCCCAGGAGACTAGGGAGAGGGAAGTGACGTCAACGACACGGCAAACGCAGATTGGGTGTTGATTTCGTTTTCTTCTGTCAACATCCAATCTGCATTTGCTGTGTCGTTGACGTCACTTCCCTCTTCCAAGTCTCCTGGGAGTGCAAAAAGCGCAACATAGCCCTCCTGGAGTCCTGTCTGCGCTCCTTATAATGGCCGGAGTGTGTTGCCTCTCCTGTTAAGTCTATTTAATTTATTTCATACTCTATGAGCACCCACTTTGACACTTTATTTTCTCGGCATCTCTGGGATTACTACCTCCAAATATTCAAGTGAAACGTAAACTGAAACCTCACTTCAATATCCCAATCAAAGTTGAGGTGTAATGTACCTGATGCAGGCTGAGGCACAGGACCTTGCCAGTCCTCAACCACGAGACGTGCCAATTACGGGAAGCGATGCAGAGGGCTTGGACTGTCTACTGCAAGAGGATGCACGAGAACGAAGCCAGCATGATGGAGCGGGTGGTGGCAGCACAGCAGAAGGCACTGGACATGCTGCAGGAAGAGTCCCCAGAGCTCTACCAGGCAGCAGTACAGGTGACAATGCTGTGCCAACTTGCACGCTTGTGAAGGGAGTACCGTATTTGGTTACTGCAGTGGCTAGCCTTGGGGTCGGAGGGCTCGTGTTCATAGTCACTGATTGGTAGATTTATGTGGTATGGTTCCTTCCTGCGTAGAGACCCCTCAGACTTTGCTTGGACCAATTACATTTGGTCCATGCTTTTTGTAGATTTCTTCAACAGGAACTTTAAATTATGCAGAAATTCTTCATTTGCAATTTTGTTGGAAGATTTGTAGCCTTGATTTACACGATTGCTGGCAGTAGAATAAGCCGAAACAATGTTTTTTTTTAGATCCTTGCCTTATATCCTGCTCATAGGTGTACCACGTGTTATTGCAATCTCCTTAGCTTGTCAGCCGTTAGCACCGGGTTTTCCTCACTATTGTTCACGGATTATACACATTTAATGAAACGTTACGTGGTGCAGACTATGTATAAGGATCTGTTTTTTTCTAGATTTTTCATTACGACGAGACATAACAGGTTTTGTGAATGACAGTATGTTAATGACGATTTATGTACAATTCTTTATGAGCTAACAGAGCATGCATTTGGCAAGGTGTGCTGTGTATAAGAATTGTTTACGTGCGGACCGTGCACTGAGTACGGACCACAGTCCATAAAATACAGTATACCATTACCATCACTTTTAACCTTGGAGTAGATACTTCCCAGAGCTCCTTTTATATATAACACCCATTTCATAGTGTATGGCTTTTTTCTCTCATTAATATGGATTTTTATTATATTAATAAGTGGAGTCCTGCACGAATTTTGGTATTCACATCCAACTTGGATCTGCCGACTCTACTGACATTCAAATTTAAAATCAAATTCACATATTATGTTGACAGTTGTACCTGCACCCAACACCCACAAAAGAACATCTTTGTTTTCACTTTATATTTTAAGCTCATGCAGTACTTTTGGTGCACATAAGCATCTGCAAACGAATGATCTCCAATGCCTCATATGTCATGCCATTAGCTTTCACAACAGTGTACGAAAGTAAAATTGGTACCGGGCGTAGAGATGGTATTTACTACCGGCTTCATTGAAGGCCAACCAATGTCTGAATGAAAAATGCTATTTTGCATGCAAGAACCCGATATGTTGCCATAACAGTGTCCAATAACAGAAGGAGAAATCCACAAAGCTTTGCACGCTTGCACCTCATCTTTACAAGCTGACTAGCAAAGATAAATTTAATTAAAAGCAGTGAGATAAGCATCGGCTGTTAAATAAGACAACCATCAGAACATCGAGCAGTCCTTTCTTGAGCAACAAGTAGCGTTGCACATCCAAAGCATTGAACATTCCCATCCAAGTTGAGAACACTAATGGTCACAACTGACCTGAATCCGTAGTATATCATATTTGCATATGGTCTGCAAACTTTGAATGCCATGCAGCTGTTCCATAGCAAATACACCCGATTAGGGGCTCTATGGAAAGGGCATGTTTTCACTTAAAGACCAACCAACAGGCAGAAAGAAGGAAGCTTACTCTCCACTGTACTTGATTTTCTCCTCACCGTTTTTCCTGCAAGAGGAAAGAAGGAAAGAATCCCTCTCTTTTACGTCGTGGTTTAGGGTTAGAAAAGATTAGTCTATTGGCCAGTTAGTAATCACACAAAGCAAGGCTGAAGCCATACCTTCTTTTTCTTTCCCACTTCCCCCTTTTGACACTAGCCTTCACTTTGACCCTCGGACTTGAAGTACTGGCAGTGCCGTAGGTGCTATGTGCTTGTCGGTCCAGTCGTACTAAGGTCATATGCCTTAGTACGACTGAAAGTATGCAGGTGAAAATAAGCGCTCTGCTGGGGATCATATTTTCTTTTTATCCTGATGTCCATTTATAGCGAATTCCCGAGAATCGGCAATTAGTAGCTGGTGACGAGAGCACTTAGGCTTGTATGCTTTGACATGTTGCCACTTTTTGTGTGGTTCTAGTTTGGCAGAGTTTAATAACGGTGACTGGGAATATATTCACCTGTTGGTATAAAATGCAACTTCAAAATACAGGAGCCGCTACATTATTTGTAAATGAATATATTTGAACCAATAAATGTAACGAAGATTTTGTTGTGCAGACTTCAAATTCAACATTAGCAGAGAAAAAGCTTATACCAAGAAAACATAGTTATTGATGCTTTAGTTTTTTCCATTCTTCAAATTCAATCAGGGTTCCAGATTTATGCAACATATATATAGTCTTATCAGGGGCGACAGGGATATCCATTTTTCTGATTGAGCTCATAAAAAACAAAGGGCACACCCGAAAAGCAATCCAAAACGGCAGAAAAGCTTAGACGGCCTATCAACTTGATATCTTTTATTCATAGTTTTTCAATAATATACAATATATATCTTAAGTTTATTGTCAATAGTTTCTAAGGATGATTCCTACCATTTTGTGATTGTTTCACAATAGGTTTTAGAATGTTCCTCGATAATTATGCGGAAGTCACTAATTGGAGTTGCGTTTTTCTCCGAGCTGCACAACATTTCTTGGACGTTCTTCGTCTGCCACCTAATAAAACCCCATCGATAGCATTACGGTAGTTGGGTATCGATAGTTTCTCCATATTCAACTGTGAATAAATTTACGATATAGTCGACTATCGATATATGCTATCGAGTTTCACGATATTGGACTATCGATAGTTTTACAATGGTTGACTATCGATAGTAATATTGATAGTTTTACGATAATCAACTATTGATAGCACTATCGATAGTTTTTTTTTTTTTTTCACTATCAACGGTTACATTTGGATTCCAGTATCGATAGTTTGGCATCACTACACGTGAGTCGTCATTTGTTGGTGGTATATCTGCGCTCTTGAACATACACCATGCTGCCAAAACTTTACTTGGTGCATAATTAAAAACTCAGGTTTAGCAGCTCGTGCTGCAGGCCCTATAAAAAACGAAAGAAGAAAATCTCCCTTGACCCTTGAGGTTACAGTGCTGTGGGCTTGAGCTGACAGTGCTGTGGGAGTTACGTGCTCGCCTGGCCAATCACCCGCCTCCCTTGCATCAGCTGACCCTGCTTCCTGCACGTGCGTATGGACTGGAGCGTAATCACGTGGCTAAAAATATAGGACTGGTCCGACGAGTACATAGCTTCCAACCTACTGTCAGCTGAGGAATGAAAAAAGTATGGTCCTCCTTGAGAAGAAACTCGTGAGCCCGTCACAATAGCCTGAAGAACGATCCACGAATTCGAGTCAAACAATAGCAACGGCCCCTTTTTCGGTGCGCATGTCCTGCCAGTGCGACTAATCCCTGTTGTTCAGGTTTGGGGGGTTAAAAGACGCTTAGCATGCGAGAAGGACGTGAAAAAGTGAGCAGAAAATTGCAGGGGGAAACGAAGGAAAGGAGAGGAAGCTTCTGCCAGGAAGAATTTATCTTTGCGTGTCGGGCTTTAGAAACTGAAGCAGGATTAATGAATATCAAAATTATGTTTCGGATTGATGGGCCAAGTAGCCACAGCCGCAGAAAATGTCGCTGAAGCTCCTCCTTCCAGGCGTGTTTGGTGGGAGGAAAAAACTGTTACGCATTGTGCAGAGATTTTCACATTTCCGCGCATTTCGCAAGCCCGACCCGAACATTAAAAAACGCTGCACGCGCTCCTTCACAAGCGGTACGAGCGAGGCAGCTGAAACATCTGGGCATGATGTCCCACCCAGCCGTTGGTTTTTCCGTTTTTCTCACGTCTGTTGATAGGTTTGTGTCAAATGCTCGTAATATTTAGGGGTTGTGTTGAAGCAAGGTAAAAAGTGAAGAGGGTATAGGAAAGGAGGGGGCAGGTGAAAATAGAAAGCGCGAAGTGTATGTCGGCCTTTAAACCGGGGGTTTTCAAGCTTTTTGATTACGGTGCCGGTTTTGGGCTCTGTCGCAGTCTCGAGGGCGGGAAAATAAATAGGTAAATAAAAGTAAACTAAAATAAACTTGGGGAGTGGTTTAAGTATGAATAATCAAGTTAAGAGTTTAGAAATACTGAAGTGGTTTAGTAAATACATTTTATTTTGAAATTTAATATTTAGTTAACTATGCCATTATAAAATAATTATAATGAACCACGAAGCTCACCGGGCATAAATGAAAGTGCAGAGGAATTTCACATACGGGAAAGGAGACTGATGAGACTGGTAAAACCGGTGAAGACACAATAGTTGTGACACAGGACCCAAAGCATGTATACGTGAGAACTCGGAGTAATTTTAACATAGCGGCATCACTAGGGTCAGTGGCACCCGGGGTGGTGGCCTGCCGCAACACCCCTCCCCTTTCACTGCTGAGCTGCACTCCCCCCCCCTAGTGACGCCACTGCACAGTCATGAAACAGGTGGCTAAGAATGACGATGCTGATGACAACAACAGGCAACATATGTACTATGTTATTCGCCTCTAGGCCCAGTTTAAATTTATGGGAGGCGTGTTTGTTTATTCGTGGTTCTCTATGAGGCACGTGGCGATTAACTCTGTTCAAAATGCGGGTGGAGACAAAGCATTTACACCAACGACACAGAGTACGGGCGAGGGTACAGAGCACAAGTTCTTAGCAGTTGATTCCAGTGCAGGAGTGCTGCATTGACAGCTCCCATGGCTTTGGCCTCGCGTGCGTTTTGCTCCAAGTAAGTGTAAAACAAAGCATAGTTCACCAGATGAGCCGTGCCGATGGGATCTCGAGGCGAATATGACGCAGTACTATCATATTAAAATTATAAAGTGCAAGGGACAGACACGGCCATGAAGTAGAGAGGACAGCTTTATAACTTCAGTATGTTGAACCAACTAGCCCGCCTTAATATTTTAGTACAGTACAATCGGCTAGGATTTAGAACGGATGCGATGAGTTTGTTGAGCGTATGCAGTGCTGTTACTTTACGCACGCTTATTTTTGCACCGGTAGCATCGGTGGAAAGGAGCCATGGGTTGGGCGTCATTGGGAGAACCACGGGCCGGTCAAAAGGCCTCCACGGGCCAGGGTTTAAAGGCCCTTGCTTTAAACTAAGTATTGATTAATAGAGCTCTACTAATAAAGCCAAAATGTTTCTGCTGTCAAGAAACTGATTTTGTTCTTCATAAATATACTCGTTTTCACCTCGAGAACCAGAGTAAAGAGTCCGACTCCTTGCAGAGCGTAACTAATTCCCCCCTTTATGTGGATAATTAAGATATATGCTGGTGAATTTTAGATTAGATATATGTTATCTTGTCAAAACATACACACTTCAAACGCCAAAAGCATCGCTTTTTCCTCCGGCAACCAAATCTCATAAGAACTAATATACTTTGTGCTGCACATGAACCATACAGAAAACTTACTTTTTTCTTGAGGTGAAAACGGGTATAGGACTCTGGGTTATCGGAACTTCATTTTAGGCAATATAGGAGCGTGTTTTCTTGAGTCAATTTTAGTGACAAATTTGTCATTTGTCACAATTTACTTTCATTAAATTCTTCATATTTTTTAGCTTAATGTTGATCAAAGATTCATTTTGTTCATTTTATGTTCTATATTGTTATGAAAAAAAAAAATAATAAATATGCGGAGAGCAACTCGTCTGCTTTTTGCTCAGTAGTTGTGGCGACGTCAGAAGGATGCCAAGCTCCGATTGGCTCTGATTGAAGGTTAAAAACAAATACCTCCGACTTGCATAACAATACCAACAATTTATTGGACGTTTCGTCTCCTATACGGGAGACATCATCAGTGCGGCCTGGAAACACCCGACTATACTCTGTTTCACCTTATGATGTACCACAGGAAAGGCTACGAGCACGAGCTCCTTGCTCTGGGGCACATTTCGGCGGCACAAGCTCTCGTGAAGTAAGAGCAGCTGCCAACGCTATGAGCTCGCGGTTCTAGCCTTCGCTGCGGTACAACATAAGGTGAAACGAAGTATAGCTACCAGCAATCCAACGCTTCTTCCTCCTTTTCATCTGTAGTGCTGGTTCTGCCGACTTCTTTGTCCATGGCATACAAGAGACATTATCGTCGTCTGCACTACGCTGGGATGAAGAGAAGGAAGAAGCGTTGGATTGCTGGTAGCTATACTTCGTCTCACCTTAGTATGGACTATTGTTAGCCGTGCGTGTTAAAAGCGCGAGCTCGTCGCTTTGAATGAAGCCGCGGCGGCTGCACGAGTGCTCGTGCAGCAAGTGCTCTAGTCCAGGCAGTCAAGGCTGGCCGCTCGCGCTAGCACAGCGTTCGCGGTTAGTCCATGCTAGGGTGAGACGAAGTATAGTCGGGTGTTTCCAGGCCGCACTGATGATGTCTCCCGTATAGGAGACGAAACGTCTGATAAATTGTTGGCATTGTTATGCAAGTCGGGGGTATTTGTTTTTCATCATGAATCCCGGCTTTTGGAACATTTTTGCATCTGATTGAAGGATAGTGGGTAGAACTCAAAGTAAGCTGCCTTGAGGTCTACCCACTATCCTTCATTCAAAACCAATCGGAGCTCAACGTTCTGACGTTACAACAACCCTTGCAAAAGCAGGCGAACTTGCGCTCCACATTGACACTTAATTGTATCCAGACACAGAAACCCATCTTAATGCGGGCAATATTTGCAAGAAATCTGTGGGTTCATTGCTTTCACTGTTATCAAAGCAATGACCCTTCCTCCCTGAAAGAAGCCTAAACTCGAAACTGAAAAACTGGCCTAAACTTTATATGCTCGTTGGATCAATCATACATTTATCGTCCACCATGTGATCACACTCACCCACACCTATGCACGGGTGATAAAAGGGAGGCAGTTGGTTGGTCCAGCAAGCACATAGCTTCCATTGCACCGTCAGCTTAGCGGTGTTTATATAATTTCCTGTGGTGATCCAAAAAATTACTTTGACATTGACGATAAACCCACTCTGTCAATCTAGGGCAGGGGTTCTCAAACTGGGTTCCGTGAAACACAGGAGTTCCGCGAGCAGGGCCCGTTTGCTCGAAGCCGGTTAACTTTTACCGCGGTTAAAAGTTAACCGCCCTTCCCTACCAAGTACAGTCTCCGGCGATATGAAAGACCCACTGGGAGCGCGTGGCCGAGGCGGTGGCTGGCGGGGGCGCTGCGAGCGCTCCGGGCAATTTTATTCTGCATCGAGGGGAGGACGCTCACTCAAGCTCAGCACAAACTGATAAGCGCGCGCTTTAGCTGAGCCCCGAGTGAGCGTCCTCCCCTTGAAGCAGAATGGATCTGCCCGCAGCGCTCGCAGCGCCCCCGCCAGCCACCGCCTCGGCCACGCGCTCCCAGTAGGTCTTTCATATTGCCGGGGACTGTACCTACAAGTACCTAGCCAAGTTTGACGAGGGTTGGATGAGCGATAGCTCCGTGTTTTATTATGGGGCGGTAGTTGGTGTCACCTACTGGCTGTAGCGAATATACGTGGCTTCCGTGGAAAGATTCACGAAATGGGGGGACCCAAAAAATGCGCGAAGCCTGGTTTTCGCGACGCAGTGCGGCATACATTTGAGCTTAAGGAACAATTTTTATTGCTCGTGGTACAAATAATCGGCGAAGTAAAACTAAATTAACCCTTGTTTGGAAATTTTCTAAATATTTGGCTGTATGAAGTGAAGAAAAGCCTCTTTGAAATTTCCTTCAGAGTTCGACAGAGGACGACGAAGTTCAGTCCTAAAAACGATGAGAAAGAAGTGAGCAGTGAAAGGCGGGCGGTACACCGGCAGCATTGTTGGCCAGCATGTAAGAACTGTATATAACACCGTCATAAATTGAAAAACCTGTAACTCGGCTCCACTGAAAATTGACCTATTAGTAAATTACCCGAACATCGAGAAGAACGCTGAAAGTGTAATTCTACGATCCGCGCGCGCTGGCCTTCCACTTATAAAAGATTTGAAGTAAATAATCATAAGAAATCTTTGACGAACGCGCGTGCACGGCAAAATTTGTTTTAGGCCTTTTACTTCAGAACAGTTATTACTGCAGACGCCAGCAGGTGCAGCGCGTGTAACTACACTCGTAGCATGCACCTCGGTGCTTTTCAAATTTAGCAAAAGGTCTATGGGAACGCTGTCTGCTTTTGTGGGCTATCAACGCCCGGCCGATTGAGTCAAGGCAATCCACTTTCCAAAGACGTTGCCATGCCGACAACTATCGCGTTCATTTAGGCTTAGGAATGGCCAGAGTCGAAAGTCTATCTAAAAAATGCGGCGAGTTCATTGCTCATGCTTTGCGTTTTAAGTGAGGTAAGGCAACGCGAAAACCTCCTGCACCATTCATTGCTGACTAACGCGCCCGCTACTGCAGCTACTACGACGTATTAGTTCCAAAGCGAGCGGCGCTCACTCACCGGGGCACCGCCATGTTTCCCCGCCGTCCTTACTCTGCCGGTCACGTGACCCGAAATTCCCCCTCGTAGGGAAATCCAGTTAACCGCGGTTAGCTAACCAGCTTCGAGCAAACGGGCCCTGGTCTCATCGGTTCCACGAGCACCCAAACTGCAGTGCTTCCCCCCCACCCCTAGTTCAATTTTTCCACGGACTGAGCCATGGATCGAGTTGGTGCTGCGGGCAAAGCAACCTCACCCTTCGTACTAATATGTATATATATATTATACATTGTGCTCCAGGTTAACCCCTCTGCCTTCTTATTCTGTCTGTAGTCCTCCATTTTGTCTTATTCTGTTAATGCAAGAAACTCTTACTCACTATCGAAACGCCTTTATTGCCCAGTATTATCGGTTGGCAAGAAAGCAAAGGGGGGGGGGGGGGGGGGGGGGTCCTTGGGATTTTTTGGGGCTCGCTGGGGTTCCCTGGGACGAAAAAGCTTGAGAATCCCTAATCTGAGACTGAAGTGGCTTCTCATCAAGACAGCTGACCTGACACTCGTCTAAAACTAATGTCGATTATCTTTTTTCTTTCTCGTCACAATATTGATTATTTGTGTTTCTCGGGTATATCTAAATTGATAGAAAGTTTGCTGGGAAGCGTTTTTTAGATTGTCTTAGTTTTATCTGAAAACCTGGAATCACCTACGTGGCATAGACATGCCAGTGCCTTATATGCATGTTCTATAGAAACATGTCATAATTTGCAAGGTGGTAATTTTTTAAGGTATCAATAAAACATGGATACCTCTATCATTTATAATTTTTTTTATGATATCATAAGGATGTTCGTTCTTTCATGAAGTTTATTTGGATATTTTCCAATAATTTTCTGCACATTACAAAAAGTGCCGAAATTAAAGCACGGATACAAGCGGTCTTGGAAAGGTAAACTCAAGTAAGTGTGCAGGGGAGCTGGTTCAATACTGACATGGTAACCCAGGAGCATTACCATGTAAGTAATGACATGCTAATACTCCCGAGTTATCATGTCTGCTTGGAAAGTGCTTCAATTTGTTTGAACGTAGGCACACGCAAGATGGTTTGGTGAGGTTGCTTTTTGCTACACTCAATGGAGCCTTTTTGCTCAAAACTCTTTGATAACTGGGTGGAGTTGTAGCTCATTGCTCTTGTTCCCAACTTCCTCTTTGCACAGGAACCTTGTAAGCGCGTACAGAGGCTAAGACAATAGAGGGGAACATGGACAAACGCTTCTTCGCGTTCGTCTTTGTTTGGGCTTACAGGTTTCCTAAGCATGATGAACCAACTAGCCCAACAACAAGCCTTGTTAAACTGTTTCCTCCTTGCACTTTCCCAGAGCTTTCTGTCTTACACATAAGCTTGTTCTCGTCCTTTAGGTTGACGAAGGCTTGCTCCCGTTCAAGCTGAAGGCAGTGGTGAGCACCCCGCCCATCGAGAATTACGAGGTGCCCGACGGGAAATACATGGACACAACCAAGAAGTGGAGGCCCTGATCCGTCATGTGGATCCTTAGAAACTTGCGCAAGTATTAAATAAATGAAGTGAGCAATAGGAGTTTCCTCAAAATATTGTAGTCTGGAACAGTTTATTAGGATCACCATAATGAAGACAAATGTGCACTGGGGCATACATACAACCAAACCAACTTCTAAAATACATCATTTAACCAGATACTTAGATCACAGACACTCACTCAAAAATCAATGCAAATATACAGATCACAGCCAGATCTTAAGATTGCTTTGGTATTTTTCAGTGCCATACAAGCTTGTTTCCCCTCACCTGGCAAACACAAGTCAGCAATGCTATCACTCGAGTGTGGGGGGAAAAAAAGGTGGGGTGAAGTAAAAGCAATTACATTCCACTTTATTACATTTGGTTAATGTTGTCGTTTGTTCAGTGCTGCACATCAACTACACTGCTAAAAAGGGCATTCCTTACAAGACCTCACTTAAATTTCACCCTGCTAAAAAAAAAAAAAAAGGAACTTTTTTATATAGGGAGCTTTCATGCAACACATAGTATAGTAGGTACTTTCGGTGCGAGGCCCTGCATTGGTGAACCGTCATCAAGTTGACCAAGTGTAGGCGGCGCTGCCACCAACATCCATAATCTGTGCAGCAAGTTTGTACGGAAAAAAATGCGGATCTGCACCAATATACAGGGTGTCACAAAAGATTTACAGGGTTTTTTTTTACAGCAAAAATAAACTAGGCATCGCCGAACACTCATTCTCCGCCCAAAGGTTGCGCTAGAGGTGGCAACTAGATGCCAATGTTTCAGTCCGAACGGACACCTTATTCAAAAGTGATAAGTGATTTTCTGAAAATTTCAATGGGAAAATGGCAGCCGATAGAGTTTTCGAATACATGGGGCTCTATTGGCGAGGAGATCGAACTATAGAGGGTGCAGTTTCATTATCATCATCACCACAAACAATCGCTGTGTGGCAAGCAACTCCGACGCCAGCATTCGACTAGCGGTACGCCGCATCGCTTCCGTGCTCCCGGCATATTTCTGTGTAGCAATATGGTGCGCACTCGATGCGTACCACAGTGCTCCATGCATCCTTTTGAACCGAATATATGCCACGCGGAGGACTGCAGCACATACGCGACGATGCAGACACTATCCGCCGTCTGCTCTGCTGCACTCGATGACATGATCGCAGTTGAGCATGTCCTCTCATTCAAAGAGACACCGCTTGCTTTCGCCGCTGTCATCTATAGTTGTCGCGAGAGACAGGGTAACTGAAAAGTGAAGTTTGTGTTTTGTGAATCGTTCAGAAAGACACGGACGATCCAGCGCGCGTGGCCGAGAAGTCGCAGCTGGCCCGGCATGCACGAGCGTGACATACATGCGCTTGTTTTGCCTTCCAAGAGGACTTCGATGACATTGAACGCAAGAAAGGACTGGATTACTTCTGTCTAGATGCGCTTAGGAAAGAAAAACAGCATTACATATCTTTCAGGTGTCTTGCGTCGTCCTCTTCCATGGCAGCGAATGCACTAATGACTGCCGTCGGAGGGTTTGTTTGCCACACAGTGTTAGTTCCCGAGGTGGCCGCTAGGGAGCGCCACTCCTCGATTTCCTCCCTAATAGCACCAGAAACCGAAAACGGGCAAAAATTTGCTCCATTTTCCCATTGATATTTTAGAAAATCATAACTTTTCAATAAGGCGCGTTTGTTCAGGATGAAACTTTGGCATCTGGTTGTGACCTCTAGCACTACTTTTATGCGGAGAATGACCGTTCGGCGATGCCTAGTTTATTTTTGCGGTAAAAGAACCGTGTAAATTTGTTTTTGACACCCTGTACATGCATGTAACGTGGCACAGCACTTGACTGTGAACACGATGCAGGTTAAGAAAATGCTCCAAATTACACCTTTGTGAATGTGAAGGCTAAGTTTCAACTGCTTCTTTGATGTCGAAATGTAGTGTGAAGACGGTGAGAATGTACAAAAGTGAAGTGCCAAACTTTACGCCACGGCACACCTAAAGTATCCGGCACAAGAACCAGCTGTACTCGTTTTCGCCTCAAGAACCATAGCAAAAAAAGACTGGCTCCTGACGGTGCATAACTAAATTTCCCCTTTATGTAGATAATTAAGGTATATGTAGATGCAATTTAGAGAATATATATGTTTTCATACGCAAACACGTTTCAAATCCCAAAAGCATCGCTTCTTCCTTTGACAACCAAATCCTGTAAGAACTACTTCATGCGGCTTATGAACAAGGCGCAAAACTTAATTTCTTTTTTTCCCGAGGTGAAAACGAGTATAGCAGCACGGCAGTAGTGGTGCTAGCTACAGAATTCCCGAGCACGCACTACAGCTCGCTCCTACTTAAATCTGCGTGTCGCAACTGGCAGTGCCTCCAGCTAGGTGCTCCGTTATTTCATCCCTAGGTCATCCAAGAGTCTATATAAAATGGCGCTGCCAAGCAAGAGCACCGCCACATTTCACCGAAAAATGCTTTTTTAACGCGAGTCGCCTAAAGTTAACCGGGAAAAGTCTGCAACCGCCCGCAGGCGCCGCAGACGTCTCACAGGTTGCGAAATCGGAAAGCTCCATTCGAAATAGGTTCTGCAAGGAATGCACGAGACGAATGCAAACTTCCTCTACGTTCGCCACGCAAATCACTCGGTTCCACGCTCGCCGAACTGGACGAGACGTCGATAATGAGCCGCCCACGCTGGATACAATTGAACCGCCCTCGTTTCGCACGCCCCCGCATAGCCGCCGACAGGGCAAGAACAGCACGGAAGCCCCTTAATCGTCCCGCCTCCAGAGCGAGTGTCCCGACTTCGACGACGCTTTGACATCTCGCGAGCTTCGAATGTGAGCGCGACGGAGGGCAATGAGCGTGTGCCGGAGGCTGGGCTCGGGAAGGAACGCCCCATTGCTCCCGCCCCGTCGGCGACTCTGGCGTGCAAAGACCTAACCCTCGGAGTCCTCGGAGCGTCGGTGCAGGGTGGCGGGCTCTACGTCAGCTTCAGGCACTCCGTGCACCCTTCGGTGGTGCCTCGCAGCAGCACCCGAGCTGGTGAAGGCCCGGGGGCATGCTGGGCAAGAGTAAGGGCGCGAGGTCACATGTGCACGCACATGGCCGCTCAGCCCCGCTCGCGTGCGGAAGCTCGCTCCGCACTGCTCGCACACAAACGGAACGTTCTCCGTTTCTGGTCCTTCCGGGCGGCTGCTTTCTTCCGCGGCTTCCTCTTCGGGCCCCCGACCTGCACGATTGGGTCGGATTAGCTTTGTATAAGGAGCCTTGTTAAGAGGGAACACTACCCAGAAGAAATTTCTGCAAAAAAAAGTTGGTTTTGAAAATTGGCACATTTATATCCATCAACATCTCGAGAGTATTCCCAGAAGTTTTAATTCAATTACACTGCATAGTTATTTTTTTATAAATATCTTTCAGTCCACCAATGTTAAAAAAAAAGTAGAGGCTCGAGCACTTTCAACATATTTTCCTCTGTTCCACTTTTTGGCATAAATTTCACTTTAGGAAAGCTACTGTTTAGTAACGGCACAAAAGGAAAGGCTTGCTCGTCGTCTTTTCTGCCTGGAATTTAATGGGCAATGCAACTGTGGCATTGTTTTTTTTAGTTTGTGGACGTCTTTTGCAAAAGATGTCAAGATTTTGTTGACGACAAAAAAGGCAAGATTTTTTTGTGCAATGTTAACATAAAATAAATTACTTGTTGGAAATTTTGTTTTCACAGTTGCACTCTCCAGGCATTTTGCTGCATATCTAGAGAAAAAAATATTAAGATGTATACATTAGTTCTCTAATGATAGTTTTCCTAAACAATGTCAGTGCATTCCACGTAAAAATGACTAATTTTTCACAATTTATGTACACAGATGAAACTTTATGCTGCATTCTGCCTTGCAATTGCCAGTATATACTGTCAATTTAATTCATATTAAGCCAAAAGTTCAAAAGGTGACCCTTTTGGGTAGTGTCAGATGCCTTTATAGGGCACCTGAAAAGAAAAACAAAAGTTTTTTTTAAACACCCTCGTTGGGACACGCGTGTCAAAAAATTAATTTTACGTGGAAAAAAACAAACAACAACTTTAGAGCAATTTTGACAGTGTGAGATTTATTTTAAATTCTGCACACAAACTCCATGATGTCACGGAATGGTCATACACTCTTTCCACCTCAATGTGATGGCAAAATGCCGAGAGAAAACAAATGGAAAGGAGGTGACTACCGACTAAGTGGCGTCTCGCGCCGTCGTGTCCCGACCAGACTGTTTAAAAAAAATGTTTGCTTTCATGTTTTTTTTTTTTTAAGGGACACTGATGCTCGCAAAAATAATCTTTTTGTGTGAAACACTAGATTGTGGTGTCCAAGCTACAAGGCAGAGTCAATAGGTAACCACATTTTAGTTATAAAAAATCTAAATCCCGCAATATAGTGCTTCGCCTCAAATACTGTTTGCCCCTTCACCAAATGAGGCATTGAGTGATTTTTCATTTCTTTAAACACCCCAAAACAGCTCTTGGCAGAAAAAGCTCCATATAGATAGTGAGCTGAAAATGGCAAAGCATTTCTGGTTTCGAAGTCAACAGCAAGATATTTTTCTCCCGCGACATCCATGCTTTCGTGAAGTGTTGGTGCGCGTGTGCTGAATGCGGAAGGGACTATGTTGAAAAGTGATAAATTGCTTTTAATCCTGTTTCTATTAATTATGCGGATAAGAAATAAATTGTGGTTACCTTCTTGACTCTGTGCCATATTATCCAAATTTTTTTTTTTTTTTTTTCTGCAGGGCACACATTGCTGAGAAAAACAAACAGTCAAACTGAAACCAGAACAGTCACTGTATGACTACACACCCAGTTTCTTTAACATGACACATATATTTGATGTTTCAATAATCACAAAAATGACATTTCATGTAATTATAAATATGTGCTTTAGATGACCTAGAACTAGTACTATGTGGTTACTGCACGTGACCAAGGAAAAAAAAAAAGCAAGAGCAGGCATAAACACTTGCTTCTCGACTGGCAGTTTTCGTACAAAAAATGAAGATTTCGAGCTGAAAACCTTTTTTTTCCTTAAATACTTTGTCGATGTGCCTTGAAGTTGTTAGAAACTGCAATTAGTTCCTCAGAATAAAATTAACGGTTTCATCTGCTCATTATTTTCTGAGTAAATGCATTATGTACTTATCATAAAATACCCAGCATGCGCCTACGCCACAATAACCCCCCCACCCGCTACTTTCGAAATGCCTGAGAACTGAGTCAAGGGCACATGAAGTGCCCACCCAAGACTTCTGAGACCACTGAGCACCTCCTCGTCAGCTGCTTCTCCAAGTGCCCTGGAGGAAAGCGGTGAAGCCCACCCTATCACATGCCCTTCTGCATTTTGCATCAACCATTTTGTGCTTCAATGTCAAGGCTAGCCTAGCTTCCACAGTACTGCAGCCCTGCGGTGCTGCAAGAGCGCATGGCTTCACCTTGCATCTCGTTCGCACATGCTCTTGCGCAAAGTAGATTCCAAATGAAACCACACGCTTGTGCACATAGCTTTGACATCGTTGGAGTTCTGCAAAAGCTTTGAAGCCTCGACACTGTAGCAAAAAATAGTTTATGCCAAGTATAAGAAGTTCCCATTCTCAAGTTTCTGAAGATTGCATCTCATATTTTGGATGGGCACTTGCTCACTATTTTTGGGTAGGCATTTTCCTCTTCAAATTTTAAACTGCAAATGGAACTTCCTAGCTGTCTGACTAGAGGATGGTTAGAACAGCCTTTATCCACTCAACCAAAGCTTGGGAGAGGTCTTAGTTTCAAAGGTTTAATCTTATCAAATTACACAGACAGAGGGTGTAGATGGAGTAATTTGGTTCCATAATAAAAGAAGATGTGGCATGCTTGTCTCTTTGTACTTCATTAATCTTTCTGTAAACAGACCTGCCCTTACAATAAGCAAAACGAGAGCCCCTAAAGGATTCGGAAGATTCTTATTGTACCAGCAAGTGGCGTAAGCCATACCCGCTGAAAATCACATTTACAGCAGAATATAGGTAGTTACTGTAACTATATCTGACACTCTCAAGAAAAGGGCCATAGTAGACGTAGGAGACCTTGCTTGCCGCCAACATTCTTGGAGTGGATGTTGAGGAAATGCCTCTTGGCTGCGGAGGAAGTGCTGAATGCCTGGGGGCACGTCTGGGATGGGCAGCTGAACGGCCTCTCCCCCGTGTGCGTGCGCTTGTGCGACAGCAGGTGGGCCCTGCAGGGAAGCACCCGCACCTTGCCTTCAACGCTCCCGATTGCCTTGGACCAGGGGGCAAGCTGGCCCAACGCAGTGGAAGGTTCACTCCAGTACAGTCGAACCCAGATATATCCAATTCAGTCTGCGGCAACTCATTACAAAAATATGAACTCACTTGGCCCACCCGAAAACGCCGCTTCGCGGCGTCCGACTATTCGCTAAAGTGTCGTTCGATGAAACGTGGGCGTTCGCTAAAACGTCATTCGATCAAGTGAGTGCCTCCCGTTGTCAACACATTCAACTTGACAAAGACTTTCATTTTTTTTTTTTTTTTTTTCTTTTGCTTATTTTATTTTGGGGGCTAAGGGGTTGCACAGCAACAGCGGTGCCCGGGGAAAGAGTACACGCTACCATTCCAACAGCGGGCACTCCCTGCCCTCCCTACGGGTGCGCGAGTGCCCTTCACCTTGCTTTTGCCATCCTCCATTTTTTTTTTTTTTTTTTCACGGTTGCCTTTTTTTTTAACAACTGCTTTTTTGCTACGTGCTGCGTATCACTGCGTATCCCCGTGGGCGTATGCTGGCTTGGCGGTCTGCCAGCCCCGCAACGCGAGCTATGTGCTAACTGCCAGCGCAATCCGACCGCCAGAGAAGCAACCAGCGGCCCTGATTCAGTTGCTATATATCTATATCGAGTGTCCCCCCCATGGGGGCTCCATACACAAAAACATTGCTCCTATACTATTACATGTGATTTTCAAGTGGATGCTTGGACTGTTCGATAAAAACAACAATTAGAAATACCCGGGTGTGATATAACCGGGCTCAACCGTAGTCAACAATGATTCCCTTTTTTGTTTACGCAGAGGAAGTGAGAAATTACAACAAGGAGAGGATCATAAAGTGGCATGAGGGAGCAGGTAAGCTGGTTGAAGCTTATTTAAGACACGGTTACTTCCGAAAAAAAGGGAAAAAATAGGCTGGACAGGGTAAGACAAACCAAGGACGAAGCTTCAATATTAAGGCTCTGTTGATGCAAAGAGCAAGTCGTCTGCTTTTTGCACAGGGGTTGCGGTGACGTCAGAATAACATCAAATTCTGATTGGCTTTGAATGGAAGGATAGCGGGTAGACCTATATGCTAGATGCCTCGAGGCCTATCTACTATTTTTTTCAATCAGCCAAGAGGAGCTTGGCATTCTGACGTCACCACAACCCCTGCGAAAGAAGCAGACAAACTTAAACTCCGTTCTGTCTGCCGTACTGCACCCAGTTGTCTTTTTTTCCAAGTCTCAGGTGCAACCACATAGTATCAGGGGCTCACTGTCTGCGATATAACAGCTGCTTTGCAGTGACAGAATAACAGTTTGAATATTAGCAGTCCCAGCTTCAAGGTTGATGACCTGAGAAGTCTTTCGTTTGACGCTCTGTGGTTACGAATTTTGCCGATTTGGTCAAAGTTGCGAGATTGTACACAGTTCGGCAAAACAATGACACCTACACTTGGGTGCCACGGCTTCGTGCCAAACAGCAACATAAAACCAGGCTTCACTATACATTTACTTATACTTTGTACCACACTCTCGATTCTAATTCGCTTCCTCTTTCACATTGACTATCACTAGTGCTATAGAGATAGCTCTGCCATAATGACTCGATAATGTGACCACAAACCGTTGGTAGCCCAGTTCGACTAGCGCAACGGCACTATCGTACCTAGAACGTACGCATCTTCGACCGGCGCATTTAGCGTCCTGCCCCGCCCAAACATCAAAAGTGGTCCCAAAGTGGCAACAAACAATGTCACAAAAGCCGGAGTGCCACGCCAATGGACGTCGCGATCCCAGCCGATGGCACCGGAAGCCCTGACAAAAAGTATGAATGCACACGGGTGTCGCCGTCGTTGCAGAGTCCCAACTCCCGGCTACCAAAGGTTCTGTGGACTGTTAAGCTAGAGGGGATCACTACCAATTACAATGTGAGACCTGTTTAACGTCGTCGGATGGAAATTGAAGGGACACCTTTTGGACACAAGTCGGAGACACCTTTTGGGCAACCGCGCAATGGAGAGCATACGGCATTGGGGGCGTCCCACCTAATGGCGAAGCTGAGGCCGCAGGTGAGGCAGCGGAAGGGCCGCTCGCCAGTGTGCACCCGGTTGTGGCGCTTGAGGGCCAGGGAGGAGAAGAAGCGCTTGTTGCACAGGCCGCACTGGAAGCGGCGTTCCTCCTCGTGGCTGAAGCGGTGCTCTGCCAGGGTGGACAGCTGCAGGTAGCCCCTGCCGCACACCTCGCACACGTGCGGGGGCTTGCGCCCGTGACTCGCCTTGTGGGCCTGCATCTCCTTGTACCTGTGCGGCACGTGAGACGCGCATGTAGCTCCTCGTTTACCACATTTTCCAATCCATTTGTCGCACCTTCCCGTAAATGGCAGTTTCAACAAAAAAGTTGGTAGATGAGTCGAACTTGTATATTTGTAAGGTCGGCACGGTTAAACTGCACTAATAAGCTTGCATGTGTGTAATGTGATTGCAATGTATGCACAAGGGGGAGCCAGTTTCAATATTCTCAGCATGAATCGAACAAGAAATATGACCCCTGCAGCAAATTTGTGTAGCTAAAGTTTGTACTTATGGAAGAAAAAAAAAAAAAAGAAAAAGAAATTCTAGTGTTGCATCGACAAAACATTTTAAGGGGGAAAAAAAATGTGACTTGTATGCGCTAAAATATGGTACACATTTTGTATCAGGGGGTAATTTGGCCCAACAGAGTGAGCTGTATGTACCACATCTGGCTGATCCATACGTGGATCTCGGCGCTAAGAAAAGTAAATTCAAAGTGCCACAAGCACTACTGTCAGTGCTGAATGAGCGCTGAGCAAGTGCTGCATTGTAGGTGTAAGCAAGAAAAGGCAGGGCAACAGTGCTGATACTGCGCAATTTCAGCGCTTTGTTTCTAGTGCCGCATTAGTGCTGCGGTGTAAATGTAAACGGGCCATCAGGCATGCTCCTATTGGTCGAAACTGAAGCAGCAGGAAAACACCATTGCAAATCAACTTGACTTAGCTCAGATCTTTTCAGAACATTTCACAAGGCCTCCTGGCGACCCCATATGGCACGGTGCAGCGTGGGGAATAGACCGATCTCACGAGCCAGTTTTGCTCCGCCACTGCTACCGCGATGAATCCTTTAATCTTTCTGCATGTGCGGCAACCCTGCTGCAAAGCTGCACGAGCGGACCACCAGACGGCATAAGCAATCTCGTGCACTGCTGCCTGCCTCCTGTGCGGTGGTATGCTGCATCCGCCAAACACTTGTTGAGATTAGTCTACTGTGAAGTGGCTCCAATGTATGCTCAAGTCGACTCATACATTCTGTAGATACTGGAGGCGGTGCGACCCTCTCTTTTACCACTACGAGATAAAAAAAAAAAAATAAAACAAAACCGATAACAAAGTCGATATATGCTGTTTTGTTATTGTCCTGCTTTCTTTGCGTTCCGAATCCACAAAACGCTACTCCAATGTGAACAGCTCCTTCTAATCACGGGCACCCATTCACGCGCTGTACGTCGGACTGCCATAACGCGTCAAAGAGACGACGGGGGCACCGCACATTTCCGAAACGATCCGTCGTTGCGTGCGAGCACAGAGGCACGAGCCCTCGCACTTGGTGTGTGCCCTCACGTGAGGAAGGACTCAGTGCATAGGGAGCACTTGAAGGGCTTGTCCCTCTGGGCGTGCATGCTCATGTGCTGCTCGAGGGTGTCCCTGCGGGTGAAGTGGGTGCCGCACTCGGGGCAGGCCAGCAGGGCCCCCTTGCCCCCCTGGTGACCCAGCAGGTGCCGCGCCAGCGATGTCTGGTCCAGGTAGTGGGCGTCACAGTGCGGGCACGACAGGGGCCGCCGGGCGTGCAGCCGCCGGTGGCGCGACAGGCTCTCCCGCACCCGCGTCTCGAAGGGGCACAGGGGGCACCGCAGGGGGGGCCCCGCCTCCCCCGCTTCCTCCTCACACCACTCTGCGTCGTCTGGCTCTGCTGCGGGGCCAGAAAAGGAGCACCACGGTAAGGGAGCGTGCCGGCGTTTTAAGATGTCCCTTAAAGCCCGACGTGCGGGCGGCCTTTCCTGCCAGGCGGAAAACACTTCCCCATTGTCCTTCTCATTGTTTCTGCCCGCACTCTTCCAACACCTCCTAGATAACAAGGTTGAAGGGACGAAGTTCTAACGTCGCCTAAAGAAGCAGATGCGGGACACGGATTGGACACGAGTGTTGCATTTCATCTGACACTAGCCTTCATCTGACGAGCCTCGGCCGAACCAGCGCCCAGCGTTTGTATTGTCGGGCGACGTAGAAAATTCAACCCTCCGGCACAGCTATCTAGGAGGGGTTCTTAGGCTGCTTCTCCTCACTCTGGATTGGCACCTCCTCGTCCGAAAGGTGCCAATCTGGAAGCTACTCCCTGCAGAAAAAAGAAACCAGTGGGCAGTTCAATCTTTGCTTGTTCACTGCCCTTTATGGGGCCTGCAAAATTACTCATTCTTAGCTTCACGCGACAACTGCTACAGGAGATACAGCTGAAACATGTTGGGCATTGTTTTTTACTGGCTTGTGTCAGCAATATTCATCGCAGCCATGTATCTGGGTTGGCGTGCTCAGAGCATGCACCATGATATCTTAACGCTGGCGAATTCCATCAGCAGCACAATGCAAGAAATACATCTGGGCGATACCACTCTGCAAACAGATTGTGTTCACAGCTAGTCTCAAATTAGGATGGATTTGTTTAACACCAACGTAGGAGGTGCTGTGACCAAGAGGCCCACAGCGAAATAGAAGAGGAAGAAGAGGCCCATGTTTGCAAACGGGAAACAGTGAACAGCGCGGTGATGCTGGAAAGGTGAGCAGGCCCCCAAGGAGAAACTCTTTATGCTGAGATATGGGAAAGAAGTGCCAATATAATGGGGGAACAAGCGGATAGTCTAGGTTTCCCATTCGGGAGGCACTATCTGCGCTCAAGAGAACCGCCAGGTGCACTGAACATAATCTGGACGCTCCACCAGATCGAGTGACATCAGCTAATGTGCTTCTTACATCGTGCTCAGAGGACTAATTGACCACGGACGCGTTGAATATTAACCAACAGGATCAGCTTCGGCCAAGGACACAGCACTTGTGTTCAAATTCCTTGCGTCCCACTACACAGCAGAATTTGAACCCAACAATGTTTTCAGGATTTATTTATTTCACCTTTAACACTTTGTATACTCATTAAATATTATCAGATGCAGACCTCCATACAGCACCAAAGAAGGCCTAAGCTCAGTCTTGGAAGTGCCTAAGATAAGCACACATTTACACATACTAAACGTACTTTGTGCTTGCAGCTTTTTGACATTTCTGCAAATTCACTAACAATGACATGAAGAATGGCAACAAGTGGAATGCTTTATTCAGACTTTTATGAGTAAGCAACCTTCAATATTGTGATACACAATAAACAAAATATGCAAAGTGGGACCTGCACATATACATATCCTATATCAGGCATGTGCTCTCAACGAAGTGACAGACGTAATAAAGGTTTTTGGCAGTTATCATATCTACTTTATAAAGGGCAGTTTTCCAAATTGTTTAGCTTATGGGGCCTCATGAAAATGCCCTTGCAGAGCTGCCCGACAGCCAAAGCAGAGTAAACACCCCCCCGGTGGCGTCCTAGCCATACAGGAACTCCACAATGCTTAAGGTGAGACTCACGTAGCTAGGATTTTGTTTCGGGGGGGCCTGCCCATTACAAGATGCTGCATGAGGTGAAGGGGGGAGGGGAGGCCCCAACAAAATGGAAGATTTCGGGGGGGGGGGGGGGGGGGGGGGGGGGGCGGGGGCGGCCTGGGCCCCATGGTTCCCCCCCCCCTGGCTACGTGCCTGACTCAGCTGCCAAACAGGCTAAAATTTTGTTGAGTCAATCTGCCCCAGTTCCAATAAGTGAAATAGGATGACAACACCGCTGTGCAGAGCACTTCTACCCTTTTAGATGCCGACACATTGTGAGAGAATTTATATGGTTGACAGCATATTGTCTTGGCCTCACTTTGCATGGTTTGTTGTGGCCATTTTGACTTGGCAGAAGTCCTTTAGATCTGTTTCATTAGTGCGGTTGAATGCATACAATAGTTGTTACATAACCTTTGCAGGCCGTTTCATTCTCAATGGAAGCATCATGAAGAAATCCATCAGAACTGCAGTCGCCTGAACAAGAAAAAGCTCAATTGTTAATATACACTCTTTAAAAAAAGCTAGGCCCACAACTCCACAAATACCCACATTCCCAAAGAATTTCACCATGCTATAAAGTTAATCCACATCATGTGCAAGTCGCCAGTCTTGTATACTAATCTCCAATGGCCACCATATTCTGCCGAGGTCCTCTCCAGCAGGGGCTGTCTAGTTTTTGGCCTCCTTGGATCTGACTGAAAGAAAAATAAGAGCCACGGAATAAAGCAGAGCAAGAATCAAGTGTAGGTGCACTGGCAAAGAGTGATCCAGCTGATTATGAACTGCACTCAAAACTAGAAATGGGAGATTGCAACTGCATGAATATGTCTATGGGGGGGGGGGGGGGGGGGGGGGCTACAGTGAATCTTTTGCTATAAAACAAGCCAGAAACATAGGCACAGCGAGAAGATGGCACTCTGCCATCCGCCCACAGCGTCAATCAAGGTATGGCACCACTCGTTGCAAGCATAGCTAACTTGGTTGTTTGCAAACCCATCCACCGTTGACCCTCGCAAGTTTGTTGGTCTTATTTTTCACAGAAAGGAAGCCATGCCTCAAAATTTCATTAACCAGAATGCACATTTAGTGGCAGTTTGAACATTCTATGTGCAGGTGCCAATTTTTGAGGGTGATTTTACAGTGGAAGATTCACAGTAGCCACCCTACATTTTATATCAAGATAACATACTAAGTCAAATTATCAGGATGCATAGACTTCCTCTTTCAGCCCAACACGAATACACTTTTCTCGCCCATTTGATGTGATTTCCAGGGGCGGACGCAGGTATTTCCAGAGATGTCAGTGTATCATGTTTAAGATCCGACTCCAACCCTTAACCCCCCACAATTTTACATACAGAATTCAAGAGGAATGAATTCAATACACAATTCAACATTTCTGTGAGTGCTTCTGAAAGCCTTCAAAACGTACAACAGTTTCATTTGGAACGAATATTCACATAATAGAGATTACGATTCAGAAGGTTTTCTCCGCAAATAAAACAGCAGTAGTGCCATCTGACGCGCTAGTAATTACAGACGTAGGCTGAATCAAGATAAAGCAGAGTTTGCGTTTGTGCGTGACAGGTAATATGTTCTACGTAGAGTTCGAGCACAAAAGGAATGCGCGAATGGATAAGCTCGCAGGTGCATTTATACCTTCGTGAGTACGCTTATATTAAAACAAAATGGTATACTATACTTCCTGCGTACGCAAGCAATTATCAGGAAAAATATCTGCTCATAAGGATATATGCGGTTTTCAGAGTTCACAGATCACAAGTCGCATCAGATGCAAACGAGCAGTCAATTCGTTTCACGCAGCTAATGCTCGCGAGGATCGCTAAAGAATCGAATAAATTCGCCTGTAATTAGTGCACCGATGAGATAAGAAAGCACGTTCGTCCACGGAACACATTTTGTTTGAAGAAACTTCACCACTTTGAAACAGAATCAAGACGGGTGCACCGGGTGCGAGAGCATCGAGTCAAGCAAGTCGAGAACAGTCGCCGTCTTCGATCACATCACTTCTACCCTTCGAATCATGGAGGCCGGCGGGCCGGCGTCACGTGGTCACGTGACAAAAAGTGCGGATGGGTGGATGAATGGAAGTATACTGGGGTCGCGAAATGGGCGTCCGCAGCGCCAAATGAATCCCCGAAGGTTTCGTGGCGGTACTAATATCAAGATGGCGGCCAACCGAAACACCGAAACCATAGGGCGGCGCCATCTTCTTTTTACTTGCAACGGGTTCAGTAGGTATGACGAAAATAATCCCTGGGGATGGGGCAGAGCCGGGATGGGGAACAGTCACCTAGCTGTGTTTAGAGATTCGTGTTTGTCCTTTGTCCCCCTTCTTCCCCTTCTCCAGGAATTCTTTTTGTCATTCTTGTCCAGCTCGCTTGCACCTTTGCATTACATGCATTATCATCATTTTTAAGCATCTACCTTTTTTGCGGTTTCCACCAGGGTGTCGAACCGGAACCGAACCGAACCGAAAACCGGAACAGAACCGTTATTTTTAGCCGAACTAAAACTGAACCGAACCGAAATTTTCGCCGCCATCTTGGAACTGAACCGGAACTGAACCGGAAAAAAATATAACGGTAACCGGTTCAAAACGGTTTGCGGTATTTTTTTTTTTTTGTTAGTATTACAAATTTATTATTTGGGAATAAAAAAACTGGCAGCTGTGTTTCTATATTGATCAAATCGTCATATACAGAATTCCTGGTTTTCTGCGGCGCTTTCTTATTGGCACTGTGATTAGCCATGTGTCACATCGTCACGTGACGTCATGATGTCAAGACATGCTGTCAAGTAATGTCATATCACGTGACCCCGTAACGTCATGTGACTCACCGCGTAGATTCAAATTAAGGACGTCACTAGATCTATTAACGTTGTTGATACCGTGACGTCACATGACATCACAACTTCGCACTGAGAGTCGCGTGACACCATGATGTACCCGATTGTCATGATCCCGAGTCGAATGCTCTGGTTCATGACAACCAGCATCGCCAAACATTCGGGTGACGGCTCGTGTTCAACTCAAAGATTATGATGGGCCCGAGTCCCACTAGAACTAGAAACAGAAACAAACGACAGCGGCAAGCCTCAGACACATGTAGCATGTTTGCGATGGTACCTTTATACGGCTTTGAGTTGTTCCGTGCTCGAGAAGTTAGCACGAGCGCTTACAAGCCTGCAAATGGTACCATCGTGTACATGATACTCATGTTTGAGCATAGCCTTCTTTATTCTACGAAGCCTGTCAAATCGCGAAATACTCTGGTTTAAGGCTAGCCGCTGTCGTTTGTTTCTGTTTGTCGCTTTAGTGGGGCTCGGGCATTGTAGCCCAACTAAAACTATATCTGAAGATCAGCCCATGCTCTCTGCTTTGCCAACCCTGCGTATGACTATGATAAACGCTGACGGTGTGTATATTAGGATCAGATCACGTGGCTGATAGTTCTAATTGCGAGTTGAGGAGGGGAAAGCAATTTCATTTCTTTCTTTCGACTGTCTGCCATTTCGCGGAGGGGCAAACTAATGGATGTTTTTGTAAGTTATCAACGTCAGGGATTACATCTTAGAGGTATTTATTGAACTTAAGGTAAAAAAAAATGCTGCACGACCCATTTTACATGTATGCACACCCTTGAGGCTCCCAAACATGTTCTCGTTATTGCTGAACTGCCTCAAAAAGTTGTCCCGAGAATAGAAGTGTTAAAGGGTCTAAATGTGACGTATTAGTCCGACGTTACATGAAACTATTAGTGTGTACGAGATGGATACCTGAAAAGAAGGATCCTAGTGGCCTCAGGGGGATAGCAGCCGCTCTAAGTCTCACAGGAGTGTCGTTCTCAAGTTCTCCAAGTTTCGACCGCCCTGTATTTTGTTTAAACTTCACAGTGTGGTGCAAAGTAAAAGCAAGGAAGAATTACTGTTAACAAGTGACACAAATATAATTGTCGAGTGAACACCACTCAATACGGAGCAGGCAATCCCTGAGGAACAAAAAGTATCTTGAGGAGCAACTAAAAAAAAAAAAAAAGGGAGTGGGGATCGGGGGTAGTTTTAAAGCATACTGTGTCGTAAAGATTCCTCTGCCCCGCATTTTCGGCGCAGACTACAAAGCGTGGCCTGGAAACGGTAATGACAGATGGGTAGTTGGTAAAACTTTTATTTGTAAAAACACTCTTGCCAGAAAGCACGTTTTCGTCGTGCGAGGTACTCGCGCCGTGCCTAACGCCGATGCACCAACAAGAAAAATGTGTGCCTCTCAAATACACAGCTTGCACTGAGCGCGAAACTTTTGCAGCGTGCATTTTGCCCCACCGAATTTGATATTCTCAGCAAGAACAACTCGCAATGACAACTACTATCTAGTGCGATTACGTCACGTGCAAACCATGTTAAATACTTCAGCTTTCTGGTGAAGTGCGACGTTCGCAACACCAGCAGTAGAAGTCCAAGGTGTAAAGTTGTGTAGTATTTATAGCAGTATCGCGATGATATACGGCAGCCTAATGAGATGCTAGAGCACATGACTGATAAAGAACAGAGTCGTGAAGTAAGGTTCCAAAACAAGTGCACGTAAAACCTAAGATAACATTAGCCTCCCGAGGTAGTATCTCGCGGCGTTTCGAGCTGAGGTAAGCTGATGCCCAAAAGTGATTTATATTAGGATTTATAAAATCTTCGTTTGCCCTGCGCGGAATCTATGTTTAATTAGGAATATCATTTTATACATTTCTATGCATCTCTTTTTGCAGTAAAGCGTTGTGTAAGGGATTATTTAGAAAAAATTGCGTGTCATCTCCTTATTTCTGCCCATTTCGTGTATTTGCCTTCCGATATATCATGTGACCACAGTGCTTTTTGGCATACCCTGCAACCCAGTATTTTACACTGCAAAACAGCTAACAAAAGCACGTTGCCGAAGACTCAACAGCTGGCGTATTTTCGAGTATCGTCCTTCCGTGTCGGTCTCAGGCGGTTATGTGAACTTCATAAAGTCAAATTTATCGATGATAATAAAAATATACTTAATTCCTGTCTGAATATTTGGCAGCATAAATAGAAGATCCTCACCTCAAAGATATATAAGTAAATGCACCTTTAAATTATCTGAAAGATGTTCTGCAAATCTTTTTCGGCGCTTTTATCCTCTATAGACACGTTATAGGTGATTTAAAAAAGGTTTAAATATTTTTTTTTATTTTGAAGCTAATTTAAATACCTATATGTTCCTCACGCATATATAACTTCTCAAATATATAGAAGTTTATTATCGCCTTTTTTATGTGTTTTTATTATCGCGTTTTTTTTACTGGAACGAATGGTGGAACTATGACGATTGCACACTTAAACTCTCAGAAAGTGTCCGATTAAGTAGCTTCCGAATTGAGTAGAGCACGAAATACCACTCTGTTCTATTTAACAAAAATCATCAATTAGCGAGGGTGATGCTTATTTGCAAATTAAATTGACCGGCATTTTGTCAAGAGCAAACCACAACACCCAGGCTATGCCAGTTTATCCAATATAAGAAAATGTTTGCATGGGTAAGCACTGTTTTAGGTCAGATTCGATCTCAGTACGAAGGTGCTCATAGATTAGAGTGAACAATTTCAGCCACTCCTTTTCGCATGATTCATCGCCCGCATCATGGTGCTGAGAGCAAACAATGCTAGTAAGAAAAACAAGCAATGCGATTGTCGCTTAGTGTTTTTATAAAATATAGACTGGAAGGACTTGCCCCGTGACTTTCGTGACATTTTGAAAATTATATTGCCTTAAGCTCAGTCGTCTTGTCATCATATATATATATATATATATTGTGAAACGTATTCCGTAAAACACATTTTATGGTATATATGGCGACGAGGTGCCCATTTCATGATTTTATTCACTGTAATTAATTCCTTAGTTCAAGGGCAAAACCACGATTCAACATCTGATACTGCGATACAAAGTTGTACCAATCACGGGTATTTTAGGCAACCTACTTCACTTCGCGAAAACATTTCGATTCAGGTACAATGTATGTGACTCTGGTAAACGAAGGGATGTTGAGTCGTATAAACTCGACGTTTTGTATGTTAATGTAGATTTTCTTTTCTTGTTGTGTAGGAATAAATAACAGAATTTTATAATTTTTGTACCTGAAAATAAAACTGGACTGAACAAACAATAAAAAAAAAAGAAAACTATATACTGTAAACGACTTATTTTTCGTGGGCTCAATATTTCGCGATTTAGGTCAAAGCTGAAGTTTTGGAATAATTCGCGGGTTGTAATTTTCTCGACCGCGGTGGAATCTCAATATAAATTTCAATGCGTTTACATTTTACCGAAATTGTTCACGGGACCCATTTTTCGCGAATTGTAGGCGATTCGCGAAATTCTCAAGAAGAGGTCCTCGCAAAAATCAGATCGTTAGTTTCACGGCCTAAATAGTGCCTATTGACAGAACAACGCGGAAAATATATTCTCAATTTAGCGGTTCAAACCGGTTCGAACCGGTTTGAACCGTTATTTTTTGCGCCCAGAGTTGAACCGGAACTGAACCGAAAGCCGTGAACCCGAACCGAACCGATAAAAATATCGGTTCGACACTCTGAACACAGCTATATAGCTGTGCTTGGAGATTTCTGTGTTTGTACTTTGCCGGCCCCTTGTTCTCCTTCTCCAGGGATTATTTTCGCCATTCTTGTCCAGCTCGCTTGCACCTTTGTATTAATTGCATTGTCATCATAACTTTAAAATGCAGGCTGTTCAACCTTGTTGGTGTTAGTGGCAGCTGATGAAACCCGTTTGCTTTCTCTCAGTTGTAGAGCTCTCCACTGGAAATGGAGAGGTCCCTGGTTCGATACCAGGACCAGGCAAATTTTTTCGGTCGCGCACCAGTACACATAGCTGTGTCCGGTAGACCTTGTCGGAAATCACCTGGAGGATGGTGGCATTAACTGGTCACTGCCATTCTGCCACCCTGTTGTGTCAG